TATCTCTTCTCCTTCCTGTTTGGCCCCTGGCTCCTGCTGAACAGTTTTAATTTGCCACAGCCTGAAGAGGACGCAGTGCAGTTTGCCAATCGAGTGAAGTCAGCCATCGCCAGGCAGGGGGGCCTCGTGGATCTGCTCTGGTGAGTCCAGGCAGGCTTTTCTCTTCCTGGTGACAGTTCCCTGTTCCTGGGTTCTGGCATGTGCTTGTGGGCTGGAGAGCTCCATTTGTGTCTTGCATAGGGCAGAGCAGGCCTTGGAGGAATGTTGTTCTTAGCAGGGACTGAAGTCTTTGTTCCTTTGCTTTGGTGTTGGGCACCAGGGCTTCGTTCTGTGGCTGCAGCTTGCAGTGGGATGCCCTGGCTCTGACTCGTTTCTGCTCAGCAAGGTGTGTTCAGCTTGGGAAATTCCTTTCTCAGGCCCTGAGGTGTCGGAGCCTGGGAGGCAGAGGGGCTCTGCAGGCAGTCAGGGTCCTGCAGTGGTACCAGATCAGCTCGTGTTTCTGGCAGAGCTGCCATGCTGAGCACAGTGCTGGGCCGTGGGGCAGCTCCTGGCAGAACCCGGTGGGACAGTGACCCCCCTTGGGGACAGCTGGCCTGCAGTGTGACCTGCAGCGTGTGGTTCAGGGGCAGCTGCTGGAGCTCTGACCTGCCCTGAGCGGCCCCATCCGAAGACGGTGCCTTTCTGCAGCCCCCTGACACAACTCTCTCCCCAGGGATGGAGGACTGAAGAGGGAGAAGGTGAAAGACGCCTTCAAGGAGGAGCAACAGAAACTCTACAGCAAAATGATTGTAGGCAACCACGAAGACCGGAGCCGCTCCTGATCCCGCTGCCTCAGCACTGCCGAGGGCTGGCAGAGCCCTCTCCTCCCAGCCAGGGCTTGTCTGCAGCAACTCCCAACCTTTGGACTTGGGCCACTCCAGAGCTGCTGGGACTCACTCCTTCATCCTCTGGCTGTTCTCTCCCAGAGGCACTGTTATTGCCTGGAGTCTTTGGGCCCTGGGCAGCTCGTGGCAAAGATGCCTTCTCATTTCTGTTACAGTGAAGCCCCGTGCAGGGGTAGTATTAAAAGAAACTCTTCTGGTGTCGTGTGCTTCCATCTGGTGTATCCAGCCCCGGGGGAGGACTGGAATGATGTGCCTGTGTGTCAGTCACAAGTCTCCCACGGCACTGAAGCTGGTGAGCTGCGCTGAAATTGGCTGCCTTGACAACCAAGGGAGTCCTCATGAGCCTCTCACGTGTGTGGCATAAACCCCTTAGGAGCAGAATGTGGTCTCTCAGGCTATTTCCAGATCCTCTTCCAGGAGAAATCTTTTGTTTTGCCACTTTCCTGTCATAGCCTGACCCAGCGTGTTGCTTCTTCAGTGTCTGAGTAACAGCCTCTTTGCTGCTCCTGCTGCAGTGAGGATGATCTCCCTGGAAGCCTCCCTGGACCTGCAGGGTGCCAGATGTCACTGGTGGGGCTTGGTATATGCTCTGGTGGGAGCTTAGGGTGGGTAGGAGAGTGAGAATTCATGGCAGGGGCAGGAGCTCCCGTTTCAAAAGTCTCCTGAGGGAAAAGCGGGATTTGACCTTGTCATGCCCATGGATAATCTCAGCTTGTTGCAGGAAAGCTGAAATCTTGTGCTGAAGGTGGTGCCCCTTTCCCTTTCAGCTCTGCAAGTAAATTACTCAGTAAAACAACTTGCATTTGAGCAAGTCCCATGTATTTTCCAATTTTACTTAAGTTCCTACAAACCTTAGTACTTTCACTGGGTTCTCTGCCTGCTCTTACAAGCAAAAGCTGTTTCACCACCTGCTGAAGCCTGCTTGCATTTTCTAGCACCCTGGAGAAGGCAATTACCTAAGTGCCTCTGTACCTCAAGTGTTGTTTGTGGGGGAGGGCATCTGCTCCCCTAGGAGAGGACAGCTGTCCCAAGTGACCTTAAACTGGAATTTCCCTGCGCATTTTTTTTCCCATTTGCCTGATGGAACTTTGCTGCCCTGGCTCCAAGGCTTGCAAAGCTCTTCCCTTGCTTGGAGGCCATTTGGACGAAGACCCCCCCAGAGTCCTGTGGTCTGGCCAGCTCTGGAGGGAGCTCCAGTCCTGGAGAGCCGTGGGGTGCCCAGGCAGGGCCGTGCTCACCTGGAGCTGTGGATGCCCCTTCCCCACGTGCCAAGCTGAGGCTGGGGACGCAGCCTGGGCTGGGGGTGTGGACAGTGCTGCCTGCCTGTCCCCACTGTCCAGGCAGGGTCTCTGGGCTCTTTGGGCATTGCCTTCAGGCCGCTGTGATGGTTTTGATGCAGATGCCACTGCACGCTGTGGGCAGGGGCTCTACCCGGGGCAGGCCTCCCACACCCCCACTGTGACCTGCAGCACCTGTACCCAGCTGCGGGTGCCCTCGAGTCTCCTGCCCACGGCTGGGTGCCCTGTCCCTGAGGCCGAGGGGATGTGCAGAGCCCTCCCCAGCTCTGCAGGACCTCCAGCCTGCTCGCCGTGCTCAGGGACCGTCCCCAGCAGCACTCAGGACGCTCTGCAGCAGGCAGGGAGCTGGCTGGACAGGTTAGGAGGCACACATCCATCTTCCCTCGGCTCTCCCACCCCATGCCCCCAGTCAATATGTCTCTCTCCGATGAGAAAGTTAATAAATTTAGCTCTAGATTAAAAGTATCGATCATTTCATTTGTAAGCGATAAATAACCGGGGGGGGAGCTCTGGGCGGCCGGCAGGGCAGGGGCTGCTGGCTCGGGCTGCAGCCGCCACGCACCCCGCGGGGGCCCGGGGCTCTCATATGCATTCTGCCCGGATGCTGGCATTGATTTGCTATTAGTCTCCATGCACCACCCAGTAGCACATCATTCCCAGAGCCGCTATTAATGGCCTTTTGATAAATAATCACTTGTAAGTCAATAAATTTTTATTAAACAGTGTGGCGCTTTGATTTATGAAAATCCGACAGGGTTTGTCTGGGAGAAAAGGGATGCGGAATTGAAGCGGAGCTGCCATCCATCTGCCTGCCAGGCTGCCCTGCCTGCGCTCGCAGCCCCAGCGCCGCTGGCTCCCAGCTCTGCCCGCACAGCCGGGGCTTGCTCAGCTCCTGGCACGGGGTGGGCAGAGCTGGTCACTCCGCTCACCCTGTCGAGCCCCCGGCGCTGCGGGGGCACCGCTCTGCTGGAGCCGCGCTGGGCAGGGGGGCGAGGATAGGGGGTGGTCCTGGCCAGCGGGCTGGGGCCTGCTTGGAGCAGCAGTGCCTGGGGTCCTGTCTGGCTGCGGGGATGCACTGGGCATGTGGCAGCCATTTGTCACTTTCCCTGGCTACAGCAGGCCCTTTGCCACTTGCTTTATTTGTCTCCTAGCTCTGACGTGGCATCAGACAGGTGTTAAACTACTTAATCACTTTAAAATTGTTTTAATTTTCTGTTTTGTATTGATCTCCACAGCACCAATTAATCAGCTCACTGGACCAGGCAGTTAGTACATTAAAAATTGTCAGCCACGCTGGGCAGCTTAGAAAATGTTAAAAAAATATCCCAACAGCAGCCCCTCACTTCTCCCACCGTGCAGAGCCTGCTCCTGCCCACAGGACAGTGATGTGTCTCTCCCAGCCCTGCCACCAGCCCCGTGCACCACGCTGCCGTGGGACCTGGCCTCCCACATCCTTGCAAAGGCTCCCTTGGCTCTGGCCCTCAGCCCTCCTGGCACCTGTCCCATGAAGGCAGTGGAGGGGCTGGGTGGCTGAGGGGACCGTAACGAGCCCTGCACTTGCTGTGGACGCTGGACAGGCACCTGTGCAGGGAGAGCATCTCCTGAGCCCTGGGAAAGGGCTGCCAGGCAGTCAGGGCTCCTGGTACAGTGCCTCCAGCCCAGTGACAGATTGGAGAGAAGTCAAAGCCCCTTTGGGCCTTGGGGCCTGGGCAGGAGGGTTGCTCAGCCGTGGTCTGCAGCCTCACACCACAAGGATGGTGCTCAGGGCCTTCGACTGTCCTGGCTGTGGACTTGGTCACCAGCCTGGCCCAGGTACTGCCTGGGACCATAGGAAAGGACATCCTTTCCAGTGCTTGCTCCTTCCGTGCCTGTGCCACCCCGCTAATCAGTGCTTGATGGGCCGGCAGCACCTTATCTCCTATCGATTTCCTCCCAAGACACAGACCGTGTATTTGCTCACACCTGGCTGGCGCTGAGTTGGCTCTTGGCTGAACAACTGCTGAGCTTGCTGGGCCCCCAGGGCTGTGCCTGTGCCAGCAGGAGCCCCTCTGGCACCTGGGGACGGCTGGCCCTGCACAGCACCCACCACTGGCACGCAAGGGCTGAGCCCTGGGCAGCCAGAGCAGGGGGTGTGCAGGCCCACAGGTGTGGATGTGCAGCCCCCGCTGCACAGGGGAGGGGGGACCCACCAGGCTGGTAGGCAAACACACCAGGGCTATTGACGCCACATCAATCCTGCAGCCCCGACAGGTGAATGGGCTCTCACTCACACCGCCAAGATAAATGATATTTATTTGCTGCTAAGAGGTTCCAATAAGAGGCCCCAACTAGTGACTTTTGAACCAGCACCTCTTGCTGCTGGTGCACGCCCAAACCACTGAAAACCCTGGGAAAGGTACCCAGGCCTGGCCCGCTCCTGTGAGCTCTTCCTGCCACACACACAGCACCACAGCACAGCCCCTTCCCCTGCCTGGCACACAGACCCTGCCCCACATGTCCTGTCTCTGACCCTTCTCTGGCCCAGCCTCGCAGGGGCCACCCTGGACCGCACACCCACGAAACAAGGGCTTGGACTTGACTGGGACCTTTATTTCATCAGTGCCGACACCGCGGCCATGCCCGACCCTGCCCACGCGTGCTGCCCCCAGCCCTGCGAGCCACGATCCCCGTCCAGCCGGCAGCTGCCCCGTTCCGACAGCCGGGCACTGCTGGGGAGTGCAGTCCCCCGGCAGGATGCAGGAGGCTGGGCCAGCCTCCCCCAGCCCCGGGGGCCCGGCTGTGCCGGTGCTCAGCTGGTGCTCAGCCGCCGTGCCTGAGCTCAGCCGCTGTGGGAGCCCAGGCCCAGCATCGAGAAGGCCGCGCGGTGCTTCCTCAGCAGCAGCCGGATCTTCTCGTCATCCGAGTCGGGGTCCAGGGGTTTGTTGTACTCATCGTCCTCGGTCTCAGAGGCCGCCCGCTCTCCACCAGAGCCCCCCGCCCGCTGCGAGGATGAGGAGGGCTCCAGGGCGCTCTTCTTCCTCCATTTGGTCCGTCGGTTCTGGAACCAGACCTGTCGCCCCAGGGGCCCAGCTCAGTGAGCAGCCACCACACTGCACACCCCCTGCCCCGCAGGGACCGACACTCACCTTCACCTGGGACTCAGTCATGCCAAGAGAATAGGCCAGCCGTGCTCTTTCTGGACCTGCCAGGTACTTGGTCTGCTCAAAAGTCTTCTCCAGAGCAAAGATCTGGTGCCCTGTGAAGGTTGGACGCGTGTGCTTCTTCTTGTGGATGCTGTCAGCCAGGTGAGCAGGGGCTGCAGGACATGAGAGAAGCAGGTGAGCTCTGTGCAGCCCACTACTCTGGACAGCTCTCCTCCTGAACACAGCACCAGCCCTCAGTGCCCACAGAGTCCCCTCACACCATCTCCCCTCCAAATTAAAACCTTATTCTGGCTTCAAGGTTTCAGCCCCATCCCAGGGGGGCTGAGCTGATGCCAGGCTGTGCAGCTCCTGCTCAAGGACAGCACCAGGGGGTTGTGCTGAGAGGGGAAGGGTCGCTACCAACAGTGCAGGACTCCAGAGCCACGCAGTGCTGGAACACCGTGCCCCATGCCCCACACCTTGCAGGATGCAGGACAGAAGACAGGCAGAGCTGGTCATCAGCTCGTAACTGCGCCAGGAGCGGATGGCCGAGCTGCCTGACCCATCTGTTCCAAAAACATCACCTGGAGAGGGTGGAATGGGACCCTGGCCCTGGCCCAGAGCCTCCCAGGACTCCCCATGGGATAGTGGGTGTTCCCATCCCACCTACCCTCTGGGACAGCAGCAACACGCTCCGCAGTTCCCCTGCCAGCTCTCCACCAGGAAAGCGGTGCTGCCAGCCCAGGGCCAGCCATCCTGCCTGTCTCTGCCCCAAGCTGGACCAGGTACCGACCCCAGTGACACTGCTGGATCAAAGGGGGATCAGTGAGCCAGAGTGCTCTGCCTGTCCTTGCCAGCTGTGGCTGCCTGGGGGCAAAGAGTTAATTTCTGTCATTGGAGCTGCCTCTGCTCTTGAGCCGAAACTTCTGTGACAGTTCGAGGTCCAGCAGCTCTCCGCTCTGGGGCAGCCCGCAGCTGACCAGCTGTGCCTGGCGCAAGGTGCTGGACAAGACGCAGCCTGGGCAGCTGCCCAGCTCTCTGCCCGGTGCCGAAGGGCCCGGGCTCTGCAGGGCATCCCCCACCCCGCCCGTCCCGGCCCGCTGTACTTACGGCCGCCGCACTGCCGCCCGCCCCGCCACGCCGGGGCCGCCTCGGCCCAGCAGCTCCGGCCCCGCGGCAGGTACTCGCCGCCGGCCTTGGGGAGGGCGCCCACCTGGGGCCCGTAATAGACTCCCGGGGAGCTCAGTCCGTTAAATCCGCCCGTGTGCGGGTAGCCGGGCAGGAGCCCGGAGCTGGGCGCCGCCGCGGGCCGGCCGAGGATGTCGGAGATGCCGTGGGGAGTGCCCGCGGCCAGCTGCGCGCCCAGCCCGGGGGGACCCAGCTTGTAGAAGGAGCTCTGCACCGAGTACTGGCAGACGGGCGCCTTGGCCTCGGGGAAGGGGCCCAGCGAGGGGCCGTTGAGGAGGAAGGTGCCCGACAGGTTGGCGTCCATGGCTCCGGCACCCAGGCGGCCCTCAGAGCCCGGATCCCCGGAGGTGCGACGGCTCGCCCATTCCCACTGTCCTGGGGGCTGCTGGGCCCGCGGGGCCCGGCCTGGCCGGGGGTGCCGGGCAGGGCCGGCAGGTCGGGCTGGGCAGGGCCCGGTGCCCCCCGCGGGTCCGACCCGGACCCTCCGCTGGGCGCGGGCAGCGCCAACATTTCTGATAAAGCCGGGCTCATTAGAATAGCGCGCTCCCATTGGCCGCGCGGCCGCGGGCGCCGCTCCCATTGGCCGGGCCGCGGCCGCCTCGCCCGCCATTGGCTGCGCCGCGCGCTTGGCCCCGCCCAGACAAATTGCGCTTTGAACGGCGGCGGGGACGGGACCGGACAGCGGGGGATCGGGATATCGGGATATCGGGATATCGGGGTATCGGGACATCGGGATACCGGGATATCGGGACAGCGGGATATCGGGACATCGGGATATCGGGATATCGGCATACCGGGATACCAGGACATCGGGACATCGGGATATCGGGACATCGGGATATAGGGATATCGGGATATCAGGACATCAGGACATCGGGATACCGGGACATCGGGATACCGGGATGAGGGACAGGGATACGGGGATACAGGGATCGGATACGGGCATGGGATGCGCGCATGGGACGGGACGGGACAGGATACGGCGATCCGGGCATGGGACGGGATATAGGAACGGGATCCGGGAATGGGATAGGGAGATGCGACACAGGGACGGATACGGGGCCGGACGCTGGACAGCGCCGGGCGGGCCGGGGCTCCCGCTGCCCCCGGGACACTGCCCGCAGGGTTGGGGGCGCCGGTGGCACCATCTGCGCTGCCGCTTCCCCCCCTGCATCCCCCGGAGAGGCCGCTCGGGATGCGCCCGGTCCTGCTCCCTTCGAATCCCCCACGAACGGCAGAGCACAAACAGCAGTCACAGCTGCCCCCACCTTCCTGGTCAACGGGGTGCGGGCAGAAGGGACTCCCTCCCCGGGATCTCCACCATCCCCCACCTTTGGAAGAGCAGGGATGAGACACAGTCTGTGTTGGTTTCTTTATTAATTCATTGTCCGATAGCTGGTGTACAGGGAAATGATCTATACATCAGGGGCTAAGACAGGGAGATCCAAAAGGCTTGTTTTCATAACAATTAAAAAAAGAAAATAAAAGTAATTTTTAAAACTCTAAAAAGCTTCTAGTGTGCAGACTGCAGCATTCTCTAGGCTCAATGTTGGGTGCAGCCTCCCCCTACCAGCCCTACAAGCAATCTGAGCGCGAAGCAATGTCACTGCAGGTGCCTGGCACGGTTCAGCACAGCACATTCCCTATGGCATACACAAGGCCAAAGCACTGGACCCACACACAACTCTATGGTGATGCTACGGAGTCAGCTGTCGCAGTGGGTCTAGGGAGGTTACTGTACGCAGCAAGGGTGATGAATGGAGAGACTGTGCCTATATGGCTCAACTTCAGGATGGGGAAGGGGCTGCTTTGCTCTCCAAGGCTAAGCTGGGTCAGTTGCTTTGCTGCAGTGAGGCTTCTTCGTGGCTGCAGGGCAGCCAAGGGCTCTCCCAGCAGATGTGCACCCACTGCGAGGCAGGGCTGCCCTGCCAAGGCCACCATCACATGGCCTGAAGGTGGAGGTGGGCTCGTTCTGCACGTGGCCACAGAGAGTAAAAGACTCTGCAAAGCAGGTCCGTGGCCACCTCCAGGGGAAAGAGCAGGGGGTCTCCACACCACTGTGCTACAAAGGCCAGGCCCCATGTCAGTCAGGTAAAGGACACGGTCGGGGACCTGGAACCTACTGCCACTGCCTCCATCCTGCACTCCTGGGGTGTGCATTGCAACAGGTTCAATCCATTGCCCACCTCCGAGCTGCCTGGGCAGCTCTGGCCAGCGCTGCTCTCCTGCTAGAGCAGCTGGCCCGGGGCTGCCCCAGCCACAGGGTGACCTCTGGGCTCGGGCTGCTGCCCCAGCACCTTCCACCTGGCCAAAACGCTGCTACTGGGGCAGCAGCCCCCACGTGTCTGGGATTGGTCCCGGGAGGGTCAGCATCCAGGGGTCACTGGGCTATATCCTCCCCTGCAAGGAGGCCAGGGTCCCTGCAGAGCCCTTGCCTGGGGTGCGTAGTGCAGGGCTGCTGGCTGCTGCCAGCTCCTGGCTCATCTCCTGAGCAGATATTGTGCTGAGTAGAGCTAGGCACGACCCCGTGCGTGGCACAAGCACCCCCTGCTCTGTCTCACTACTCATCCTCCATGGGCCCCAAGCACCCCAGCACAGGCCTACAGCTTCAACCCAGCTGGAACCAGCACAAACTGGGGCTGCACCACGGACAGACCCACGGGACTGCACCTCTAGGCCCCGCTCTTCAGGCCAGGAGGGGTCAGGCTCAGGTAGAGGGGCACGGGGCAGGGCGGACCCTCTCACTCCTATAGCCTCCCTGTTCCATTCACCAGAGCTGCTCACACACTCCAAAGGTATTGCCTGTCCTGCAGCCTGAAGAGGTATTTGGGAGCAGAGCTGTTAGTGCTTTGTACATACTGCTAGAGTGTCCCTAGGGGTTTGCATAGTATTTATCGGTTCATATACACAAGGCTGATTGCTGTACAGTTTACACTTTCAACACAAGTAACGAGCTCAGTGCTCAGCCCAGAGCCTTGCCCTGGCGGGAGAGGTTGCACGTGCTGGGGAGAGGAAGGGCAGCCCTGCATTGTCCCTCTGCCCAGGGTAGCTGTGCTCCCTGCAGCCTCCCCTCACCCCCCCAGCCACTGCTGCCCTCCCCAGAGCCCAGCACTCACTGAGAGGGATGAGAAGCAAGTCCAGCAGAGGCAGCAGAGGCACCGGGGGGGCCGAGCCCCTCTCCTCCCGTGGTGAGCAGTGCCATGCTGCCCCAGCTTCCCTCCTGCAGCCGGAGCGCGGGCATGGGGATGCATCTACACACGCAATCACACGAGGGCGGAATCTCCTTCCCTCTCGCTGTCTTCTAGTCCAGCTCTTGCCTCGCAGAGGCGCTGAGAGGATGCCCCTGGTGCGTGCTGCTGTCCCTGGGCTCCTGGCAGCAGCGGGGCAGGGACGGAGGCCCCTCCGTCAGTTTGAAGAACTGTAGCTCATGCGTCTTGCAGTCAGTCAGTCATGCGGATAGGACGGTAAGTATGTCTCATACAGAAATCATGCCATTAGCCTATAGAAACATGTACAGCCAGCCCTGCTCCCCTCCACTCTCTGCTCTCCTCTCCTCTCTTCTCAGGTATGTGTCAGAACGTGTGTGGAGTTCAGTGGTTTGGTGTTGAGGTGCGATCCTGGAGAAACACGTACAGAGAGAGGGGGTTACCAGGCATCCATGGCACAGCCAGGAGGAAGGGTGGGGCAGCCAGGCACATGGCTGGGAAGCCCCTTCTGCACCCTGTGCTCAGCCCACATGCACCCATTCTGCCCAGCAACCACAAGGCAAGTTTTGGGGAGTGTCAGAGAGACAGTGACAGAGCACCCATAAGTGGCCTGCACGGAACCAGGAGCAGTGGCACAGATGGCACTGATGGTGCTGCCCCAGCTGCAGAGAACAGCAGGCAGAGGCTGAGCAGCACCAACAGCAACATGGCACTGGGAAGGAGCTGGGAGGGCTGCTCTAGGCTCTGGGATGGAGGAGGCCAGCCCTGAGCCCCCAGCCTCAACTAGGGTGGCTGACTGCACCTCACTCTCCCAGCAGTGAGGAAGAACCCACACGACCCCCATGCACACCCTGGGCCACTTTCACACACGACAGAAAACAGCAAAAGCAAAGCAGCAGGAGCTGTGCCCCAGAGAGAGACAGAGCCAGGGACTGTCTGGGGAGTGAGGCACTCAGAGGAGATGGGGACGGGGTCTGCACGAACATGTGCTCACAAGCACAAGCCTCTTCACTGTCACGCACCCACAGAGAGCCTGCTAACAGAGTGGAGAGAGCAGGGAGAGGGGGGACAGCCATGCATGTACAGCAGAGGACCAACTGTCCCTGCTGAGCAGCCTCCTCCTGGGCCAGGCAGTGCTGGGCAGCCGGGGAGCACTCGTGCAACACGCGGTCAGAAGCGAGTGTGCCGAGGACAGTGATGCAGCTGGGCCCAAGCGTGCTGTGCCAAGCACCCTGCCTCAGCCTGCTCCAGACCCACCCCACAAGGAAGGCAGGGGGACCAGGGAATGCACAAAACTCAAGGGATAATTCTGAGCTCACGCTGTGGATCAGTGGAAGAAATGTCCTAAGCCAAAGGCAGGTGCTCTGTCTCAGCCCCTGCAAGGGTCATGTTCCTGCATCCCTACTGCCTGACATCCACCCTGCCATGGCCTGCCCCCCATCCTGGCCTCACTGCACCTCACTGCCACCCTCTCCGTGGCTGGCAGCGCATGCTGCATCTCCCAGTGCTGCGAGCAGAGGCAACAGGCCCTGGCCCCACAGAACTGGGACACCCCTCATCTGACCCACAGCTCTGCCAGTGCCTGGCTGCACCCCTTGGGAAGGGGATGCCGAGGCACCAGCTCCAAGGGCTGATCTCATGGGCCACAAGGCTGCACAAAGGCTGCATCAGTGCTCATGCATGAGGGGGGCAGTTCTGAGCAGACCCCACGCAAATGCAGCCCAGCATAACCAGGAGTAACAACCCTGTGGCCCTGCCACTGGGGCCCATCACCCCGAGCAGCCAGGATGCTGTCACTGCAGCACAGCCCCCAGCCCTGTGGCTGCAGTGGGGTGCTGTGCACACAGCTGGCTGGGGCATCGGGGCACTCTGTGCCCTCAGCACCCAGTAGCAGGTCAGCAGCAGGGGCACACCGCTGCCCACCCTCAGCACTTTGCTGCAGCACAGCCACCCCTCTCTGCAGGCCACGAGCTGGGCACAGCCACATTACACTTTCCCTGGGAGAACGTGCATGACCAGCAGCTCAGTGCAGGCAGCAGCACGGGCAGAAGGAAGAGCAAAGGTGGGGTTACCTCAAAAGAGGCCATTTGAGGGGTCACTGCTTCCCCCTCTTCAGGCTGGCTCGTTTCACTATCTGAGCCCCCATCCTGCCCCCGGAGACCTCTGTTTTCGGGACACGCACTCGCACCTCCTCCTGAGGAAGCCGCAGGGCAGGAAGCAGGACACCACCCAGGTGAAGACACACACACAGAAGAGGACAGGAGAGGGAAAGGCAGAGTCAGTTGGCAGAAGACACCAAGCAAGAAGACGGGGGCAGTGGGCAAGATTTGCCCCTGGAATTTTTAGAGGGAAAACAGAAGAGGAGAGCAGGGCAGAAGAAAGGACAGAGGGTGGCATAATCCCAAAGCCTGAGAGTACTGCAGAGGTGGTGCTGGCCTGGGCAGGCTGCCTGCAAGGCAGGGCTAAGAGCCACACTGTACCTTGGCCCCCAGACCATCCCGGTGCAAGAAGGAGTATTTCATGAAGTGATCATCCTCAGCCTCCAGGTCTTGGGGCTCCTGCAGGGAGCCCTCCAGAATCAGCTCCTCCTGTTCCTGCCTGTCACCCATGTCACCAGGGCCCAGCTGACGCACCACCTTCCGGATAATCTGTGGAGACCCACACAGCCTGTGTCACAGCTAGCTCCAGGACACCATGCCTCCCTCCTCACCCAGTCTGGCCCTAAACTGCACGGGGCAGCCTCCATCCCATGAGCTGGAGAAGTGCTGTAACCGAAGAGAGCAGGACACGAGTGCCATGCATGGACCCCTGCGCTACAGGGAGGAACAGGGAACGGGTGGAGGGGAGAGAAGAAAGGTTTCTGTGTGCCGTTGTCCATATCTTGCCCCTGATCACTCACCTTCTTGGTGATGATATTGCCTTGATCATCTGTGAACTGCTCCTCAGTCACCTGCTCTCCAGGGAGATGAAGGACTTCGTTCCCCTGCAGCAACAGGAGGGAGATCAGGGCATTTGAGGCGGGTGAGGGGAGTCCCTTTTCAGGTAGAACAGTACACCTGACACGCACGACACAGCCTCCGGCTCCAGCCCTGCCCTGCCCCGTCACTGCTTTCCTCCGCATCTGCCCCGGGGCCGGGCTCTCGCTCCCTGCTCGTTACCTTCACGAGGACGCGCCGGCGGACGACTCTGGCGGAGAGAGCCTCCTCATCATCCGCCAGCCCCGGGCTCTCCCCGAGCTCCTTGTCCAGCTCCCGGTGGGCGTGTTTGAGCAGGAAGCGGACAGAGCCCCTGACGATGTGCATGACGTTCTGGCAGCTGACCAGGAAGAACGCCAGCAGCACCAGCGCGATCAGCAGCTGGGCCAGGAGAGCCCACATCGTGCCCCAGCGGGTCCGTGCCCGCTGTCAGAGCGCAGCCATGCCCTGGGCTGGCACCGCGCTGCGGGTCTGCCCGTGCGGAGCCCCCCCGGCCCTGCGGGACGCGCCTGTAACCAGAGCTGGCTGGGGGCGGCGAGAAGGGAGCGGGCAGCTGCGCTGTCCTTTGCGCTCGCAGCTCCTCTCAAAGTCATGGGGCCAGCACTGCCCCAGCCAGGCAGCAATAACCGGGACGGCTCTGTCCCTCTTCTCCGTCAGCTTGCCAACAGCCTGCACTCCCGACTACGGTGAGAGAACAGCGTGCAGTGCCTCTGTCACGGGACAAACGAAGCCCTGGGCGGGAGCCAGGGCTTTGGGATGTCATTGGAATCACCCGTGACTCAGGAGACGCCCTCGGCAGAGCTGAGCAGCCACCTCCAAGCGTGACCGTGCTGCCGGGATGGCTCTGCGTGCCCTGGCTGGGGAAAGGTGCTTGCCCTCGCCTTGTACCTGCTGGCTCTGTGTGACCATGCCATCATGCCCACCACCCAAGCCTGGCCCCCAGACCAGTTCTATTTCTGGCTCCATCAGGCTGTTGGGCCAGCAGCCAGGGCAGATACTCAATAAGGAAGAAGTCAGAGAGGGTGGCTGGGTTCTAAATGGAGAGCAAGAGCTCAGGTATCAAGCACAGCACGCTATTCTGGGGTGAGAGGCACCACTAGGGGCAGGAGGTGTGCCAGGAGATTTGCAGAGCTAGCACCCGGTGTGCCTGACTGTCCTGGCAGCAGGCTCCAGAAAAGGCTGTCCATAGGGTCTCCACCTTCTGCAGGGCCAAGTCCCCTGCTCTTCCCCTCACCTGCCCAAAGAAGCGGCTGTGGGCCTCCTCCTGCCAGCCGCCCGTGGGGTGCTGAGGCTGCCAGTCGCTGTCCTCTGCAGAGCTGATCCGCATCAGCTCCACGGCTGGCACCAGGACCTGCTCTTGCTCCTGGCCCTGTGCCTCGGAGGCCGTGGTGTGCGTTGGGAGCAGCCTTCGGGTGACCCCCTCCTGCCAGGAGCCCGCTGTCAGGTCCTGTAGGCAGGAGATAAAGGAGCCTTCTGCATTCCAGTCCCTCAGCCTGGGCACCGGAGAGGGACAGGGAGAGAGAGACAGAGAGAGAGAGGCAGTCAGCTTTGCCGTGGAGTGCTGCACCCCGAGCACAGCCGAGCTCCGCAGGCACACCGGCGCAGCCTGCACCCCGCCGGGCGCTGGCTCCCCGGCTCACGCTGCTGCCGGGCTCCCAGCAGAAGCAGCACAGAGTACAGATGCACAAAGGGCACAGACAGCCTCCCTGCCATGCTCCCTGCCCACCCTACAGCCTCACAGCTTGGCTGCCAGGGTCTAAGGCAACGCTGTGGAGCATCACTGGGTGCTGCCAGGGACCTCATGGGTCCACTGCCACTGGGAACATGGGAGGAGGCAGCCCAGGTGGGGATGGCTCTGGTAAGCACAACCTACATGCAGGGCCTGGCTGTCTGCCTGGGCTCCCTGCCAGGTGCTCTGCAAGGAGCCCCCCAGAGCATCGCCAGAGGTGCACGAGGCACTCGGCCCAACCATGCTCCGTGTGCCTGGGCTCCAGAGATGGAGACCAGCAGAGAAGCAAGCAAAGCTGGGAGACTATTGCAGCTGGCCCAGCACAGGGCAGTAGCTGGCAAAAGCAGGTCTGCTCCCCTCCCGTGGCCACCCTGGTGCTCAGGCTGCAGTACCTCTCTGCACTCTTCTCCACAGCATGGCTAATAGTAGGTGATGTCGTGATCCTGGCTTGCACCTTCTGCTGAACTGAAACAAAAGAGACTTCACTCTCCGGGTCCTGCTCCCCAGTCCCTGGCTGATGATCACCGGCTGGCATCTTCCCCTCTGGCCTCTGCCCTTCCTCCTGCTCTAGAAGGTCAATCAGGCCATTCATGGCATCTGAGTCCACTGTGTCATCCTCAACCAGGTCCATAGAGCCCATCTGGTCTGGGCCATGCACATCTGCTAGAAGCTGCCCTGTGAACCGGCCTTCGCTTGTGGCGTCCGAGTCCTCGGCCTTGCTGCACTCCAGAGAGGAGTCCTCAGCCGTCACCAGAGAGGGGGTGAGCCCCGAGGACCACACCTGCATGTCGGACATCTCCATCAGGGCGTCCTGCTCAGTGGCAGCCATGGGGATAGCATCCATGATGGCCACCTCATTCCAGTACTGGTCGGCACGCAGCGGGGATGGCAGTGTGTAATGCAGGGAGGCGGGGGACAGCAGCTCGTCCTGCAGCGAAGCGTAACCTATATGGGCAGACAGAGGCAACGTCTCCAGCAGCCGTCTCACGCACGCACAAGCACAGTGGGGCAACAGGGAAATGGGAAACAGCCTCTGGGAGGATGCCTGCCCCGAGGACAGCAATGGTCATGCCACAGCCCCCCGTGGCCAGGCTGAGCAGGGCCGCGCTCACAGCAGCAGTTGCCTTCACATGGTCCCTGCAAGTGCTGCCATGCCTCCCTTCGAGTCCTGGGGCTGGTTTGGGCAGGCTCTGGGGCTGCCTGCTCCCATGTTCACATGATGCCCCATCCACACTGCAGGATACAGTGCCCTCTTTGGTACCCTGCTCCATCAGACCCCAGGTCTCTGCCCACAGCCCCCATCCAGCACCAGCTGGCTGGCAGTTAGCCTGGAGTTCAGGTGGCCAAGCCTGGCAGACACTGACTCCCAAAGCCAAACACTCTCCACATCACAGAGGAGCAGGTTGAAAGTACCATGAGCAGGGAAGGATGGTGCTGGTAAATGCCATGCAACCCCAAGGCCCTGCAGGAGGCAGCCAGGGCCTTACAACCCTGTTGGTCTCTCCAGGGCTACAAGCAGTTGTTAGGTCCTCATCACCCAGGGCCATGTGCACAGCTCAGGCACATCCATATGGACTACAACCTAGCCAGGCAGTCCTAGCCATGCAGGTGGCTTTGCTCAGCTTTTTTTCAGTTCTGAACCATCAATTCTTTTTCCCCCCAAGAGATCAGCAGCAAACCCGTTCTGTTCCCCAGGCAGCCAGGGAATGCCAGCCACAGCCAAGGCACAGGGTACAGCTGAGGCCTCCAGCACAGAAAGGGCACCTCACCCCTGTGCAGGCACCTGGCCAGGGACATGCAGTGCAGGGCCAGCGGGGGGAGGAGAGCAGCCCGTGCAGGAGGAGGCCAGGGATGGCTGCCTGCAAGCACGACACCCCCCAGGATGGGCAGTCCCTGGTGACATGCAGTCGCCGGAGCAGGACGCGGCTCCCGGAGGGCTCAGCTGAGGTGGAGACAGTGGAGACAGGCAGTGGAGGAAGATGAGAGAAGGAGAGGCCAGGATGAGCTCAGAGGAGAAAGGTGACAAGAAGTGACCCACAGGAGTGCCCGCACCTGGCAGCACTAGGTGGCATGTTTGAGAGAGCAGAACAAGGGGAGAGACAGAGAGGGAGAGAGCGATGAGCCAGCGCTGCAGGGGCAGAGCCACAGTGCAGGGCTGCAGCAGCACAAAGCCCTGCCCCTGTCCAGTGTGCCTGCTCCCTGGCAGCACATGCTGCAGCTGAGCTTGGCTGTGTCTCTGCACCCAGGCATGCTCTGCCTGGGGCCCAGCCCGGACACACCACCACAGCCACACAGCCAGGACTCCACGAGCTCCCTGGCTACTGCTCAGCTTGCACAGCCAGAGGCACCTCTCACTGGCACACTGGGATAAGGAACACGTGTCAACCCCACCTGGAGAGTTTCTAAGAAGGTAGCACGACAGGGCCAAGTTTCCTGCAGCGTAAGCCCCACTGAAGAGGCCACGTCTGTCAGCAACACCTTGTGCCCACTGAGTTCTCAGCAGGTGCAACCTGGTCAGGCAAGACACCAGCCCCGATCTCTCTCTGCACAGACTGTGACCCCAAGGCCCTCCTGCAGTCCCCGCCAGAAGCTGGGGCTCACCATTCATCTGGGATGGTGAGAGGGAGTATTCTCTGTCCGTGTAGCGCCAGCTGCCCTTCAGGCTGCGGCTCTGCCGGCCAGAGCCCTCCAGCGTGTTGACGATCTCGCCGCGGTCGATGTTCCTCAGTGCCGTGTACAGATTCTCAACTGCAGGGGGAAGTCTGTGTCAACAACCTGGTCACCTGGGGGGCACAGCCGTGCCCCAGACGCCCTCCAGATGGGCAGGTATGCACAAGCCAGTGCTGTAAAGCACAGCCAGCGCTGCCACCTCAGTGCCTGCAACAGGGCACCTGCCCCTAGCAGGGCACCACAACTACTCACTCTTGACATTCTTGCCCTCGCGGCTGACCCAGAGGTTGAGTAAGGCTATGCTCTGCTCCAGAAGGGAGTTGGGGTTCTCCACACGTATCCTGTTGATGTCGTCTACTCCAAACTGCAGCTCGCGTGCCAGCTCTGGGGAAAACACCACATCTCAGTATCACACCCTCTGGTGCCCCCCACCAGGCTAGGGACATTGTGAAGGGCTCAGCCAGGCCCGCTGCAGAGACTCTGTTACATACAGCTGAATACAGCAGAACGTGCAGGAGCTGGGATGGGGCAGAGGCTGAAGCCCCCCTGCCCAGGCTGGTTGTGACCAGCCCAGCAGGGTCTCAGGATAGGGACAAGTGTGGGTACTGCCAGTTGGGTGTGTGGCTGCAGGGACAGTGCTGGGCCTCCATGAACAGCAGCAGCACGCACAGCTCATGACAAAGCACAGGCCTGGTACCCCATGTGTGTGACACGTGCAGGAAAGTTCACTCCAGTGCCCTGGAACACTCGCAGCGTGGGCCCAGGGCAAAGCACAGTCTCCCCACCCAGCACCTTGCTTCCAGCTTCCCTAAGCGTCAGCTTCCCGAGGAGCGTTGTGCATCCTCAGATCTGTCAGAGTGGACTCACCAGCCCAGCTGAGGCCCAGCTGTTCTGCTATGTCAACCATCTTCTGGTCTGCCTTGTCCGTGCTGCTCAGAGAGCCTGGAGGAGGAGAGGGAGTCACAGCTTCAGCTGCACAGAATGGTGAGGGCAATGGGGTGCTGGCCATTGGGGTCTCACAGCCCCATAGGCACAGCACTGCCCTGCAGGCAGGACCAAGGGGAGCTGCCATGAGTGTGAGTACAGTGGGGTCAGCTCAGCCTTTCCACTGCCTTGGGCACCCCGAGCACAGGCGGTGAGTGGGCTCGAGCCGTCCCAGCTGGCTGCGTACCGAAACTGGTCTCACTGAGGATGCTGTATCGCTCCCGCAGAGACAGCGGCGTCAGCGTCCTCCTCCGCTCCTCGCTGCCGCTTCCCTGTGGGAGTGGGGACAAGCCAAGGGCTCAGCAGCTTGTAAAGAGGGCGACAGCTCTGCCCTGGCACCACTGCTTCTCCCCCAGCCACAGAGCGGCATGGCATGGCCGTGAGGAAGCAAAGCTGGCAGCAAGGGCTGTCCCCTGCCCTCGCTGCCCCCTCCCAGAGTGCCAGACACTGACCTTGGTGCAGGGTGGTATGCTGATGTTCAGGTGGCAGAGCACATGCTGGAGGTCCTCATATTTCATGGCCTTGCGCAAGAAGGACAGGGAGCCGCTGGCTTCCCGGCTGCTGTCCCGGACCTGAGTGCCAAGAGCCCAGTTAGCTGGCCTGGCACAGGCCAAGGGCCCCAACTGCTGCCCAGTCCTGCACCTCACATTACCTTGATGGGGATGGCAAGACGATTCTCCCGGAAGGACTGGAAGAGGAAGGTGCGGGGCTGAGTGGCCTTCTTGACAGGCACCAGGTTCCCTGAGAGTTCAACGTGCAAAGGCATCCCCTCTACCACCTGGCAGGGAGCAGAAAACAGGCTCAGACCCCGTGCAAAGCTGCTTCTCCTGCTCCTGGACAGGGCAGGTAACCTCGACTCTCCTACCCGAGCCAGGGCCAGGCCCCTCCACTGGCACCAGTCTCCCCTCACTTTGTCAGCCCTCTCTCTCCCTGCTGCCCTCCACGTCTGTGCTGGGGACAAACCTCAATGTCCCTGCTGCGGGCCACCTCAGTGAAGTTCTCATGCTGCTCTAAAGTCTTGTCAACCTTGTCATCAGTCATGCAGTAGCAGCGCAGCCGGCCTTCCCGCGCATCATTCATCTTGGCAAACACCACGAATTTGGCCATGTAGGGCACAGCTGTCAGCTCCTTGTACAGCATGGTGGCGAAGTGCACGGCCTCGGCCGTGCGCGGGCAGTCAGCCAGCCAGAACCTGTGGGAGAGCTGGGTCGGGGTGCTGCTGGGCAAGGGGCACCAGTGGCACCAGTGGAGCTGCCCCCACGCCCTCCCCACCAGCAAACTGGACCGCAGAGGGTGCCCCAAGAGTTGGGTGCAGGTGGAGCCCCATCTGTGATGGGGACACACCCAAACACAAAGAATGGTGCCCTTCCCTCTGCACACCCTGTTGTCATGAGTGTTTCCTGATGCACGGGGGCCTCATTGCTGGAAGCAACTGCCCTGCATGTAGGAATGGGGCAGCACCACAATGAGCACAGGGCAAAAGACTTCTCCTAGCAAAGGTCAAGAAGGTCCAAGGAGCACCAGATGTCCCCAGACGAGCACACGTTCAACCAGGACTCACCTGGCAGACACATTGGTGGTAAAGTTAGCACACTCATTTTCGTAGACCAGCTTCGTGGTGCCTGTTATGTCTTCCCACTGGGCTTGGGCTGTCCCTCCTGCAGCAGAAAGCAAGGGTGAGCACACTGTCCTTCTACAAGCCTGGGGTCTGCATCCCCTAAGCGATTGCTCTCTCCACTGCTGTGCCCTTTCCTCAGCTCCCAGGAGCTGCATCCCCCTGCAGCAGCCCAGCCTGGCCCGTGGCGAGCACATGCAGAGGGGCTGGCAGCCTCACCTATCACACTGCAGAGCAGACGCAGGCTGGTGGTGTCACCCTCGCCGCTGTCCCTCGGATTGTCCTTCCAGGATGGTGGCAGCGGGATGCGGAGGCCGATGGGTCGGTGGAATTTCCTCCGTCGTGGCTCCACTGTGACAATGGGGCTGAAGGTCGCTTGGTTCCCCAGCAGTTTGGTCACCAGCTCGTCAGGCACAGGCTGCGCCTGTGGGTGAAAAAGGAGAGGCATCATGCATGGTTCTTCCCTGGGCTGGGGCACATGCCCACCCCTCCCTGCAGGAGCGTGTCTGGGCCCTGGGCCAGGACTTCTGGGGCTCACCTGTAGGGCCAGCCTCACTCTCTTAGTGACAGCAGTGTCTGGGAAGGTGGCCTGTACCATGGGCACCAGCGTGCTTTTCAAACACCCTCCCTCAGGGCCGATCATATCACAGTCCTGGCAAATCCGGGACATGACCACAAAGTAGAGAGGGAAGTCGGTGGTGATGATGCGGCAGACCCTCTTCTTATCCAGCTCCTCCTGGCTCTCCAGCTCTGCAAGGGCAGCACAGCTGTCAGTGCTCACACACCAAGCCTGCAGCTGTCACCCAACACCCCTCCCGCTGCACCGACCACAAGCTCAGCCCCATCCCACCACCCCTGCCTGCAGGGAGCCGTGCAGGATGGAGCCCCTGCCTGCCCAGCTCACCCTCGTCCATGCCGTTGAGCAGCTGGTCCATGTAGCTCTCCTCGTAGCGGTTGCGGTGCTCCTTCCACACGGAGCCGTTCTCGCTGCGCAGCACCACCAGCTCGCGGTCCCCGCGCCCGTACGAGGCAAAGTGTGGGATCTCCACGATGACGGGGCTGCAGACGGCACAGAAAGGGCACTGGCACCCACATGCTGCCACCAGGACACACAGGCAACAAGGTGGCCCGGGGCAGTGCCTGCCCACGCCGTGCAGCTGCCGGGGGAAGAAGGCAGAGCTGCTGACCTCCGTCTCTCTGTGCTCACCTGAGGAACTGGGCACCAGCAGGCCCCAGGGCGATGATCCTGCTGGCCAGACCCTCCTCCTCAGCCAGTGGAGGGGGCCCAGGCAGCTTCTGGGGCTTCACCAGGCGGCAGGTAATGCGGGTGGGAGCGGCACAGGCACGGGGCGGGATGACCACGCGCAGCCCGTGGTGCCGGCTGCCCCGCATGGAGCCACCACGGGCATCCACCATGAAGCTCACCAGGAACCTGGAGCGGGCAGAGGCACGGGCAGGTGGGCACCGTGCAGCCGGCAAGTGCACAGAGCACTTACGTGCTGCACAGGCTGGGCACTCACCCTGTGTGCACCGGGCTGGCCACCGGGCTGATGTTATCCGAGGTCTCAGTGGCAGGGCTGCTGGGGATCAGGGAGTCCTCGTCAAACTCCTTGGAGGGCTGTGTAAGGCAGCAAAAAGACACCATGGGCAAAGACTCCTACCTGGAAGTGTTGAGCCTGCCCACCCTTCCACAGTCTCACAATGGTCCCTGGACAGTCCTGTACCACTGGGTCAATGCCAGCTACCCACATCATGCTTTGGCTTGGTGATGATGGAGCTGCCCCCAGCAGGGAATGCCTGGGGGAGGCTGTGGCAGGCTGTGTCTCATGCTCACCTCCTGTGGGGACACCGAGGGTGCATGCAGCAGGCTGACTTGCTCAGCTTCTGTCTCCACAGGTCCTACCTGCTCAGTCTCCTCTGCTCTGGTCACCACAGTTTCAGGTGGGACACAGGGGACCTGCAGGACAGCTGGAGACTCCACCCTGGTAAGAGAGATCAGTGACAGTCAGTGAAGTGGCAGACCTGCGTCCCTCAGCCCCCATCCATCCCCACAGAGTCCTGGGGCTGCTGGACAAAGGCAGAGGCAGCAGCAGTCTCATGTCCTGGTGCAGGAACAGCACTGACCAGCTTTGCCTGCCATGCCAGCTGATGGGGACTCAGTGATCCGTTCCTTTCCCAGGGCTATCCCTGCCCCGTGGGCAGCCCAGCCCAGCACAAGGCTGGTTCTGTGCCCTGTGCCTGCTCCCTCCCCACCATACAGTTCTCTTACGTTTGCTCCAGTGTCGTCGTGGTCATGAACTCCAGTATCTCCCTCTTGCCTTCCTGCTCCCTGAGATCAGCTGTCCTGGGTTTTGGTGCCATCAGTTCCTCCTCTGAAACCGAGAGCTGGCTCAGCATGCAGAGGCAGGTGGACAAGGGAAACACAGACATCCAGCCCTTGCCCCCCTCCCTCCTCACGGCTGGAGCCAGGGCCCATCCCTGCTCCCACTCCTGGACACACACACTTGTCCCCTGGGCCTCAGCCACACACGGAGGGGTTTGCTCTCTGCCAGAGGGGGTCTGCTGGCGAGGCAGGGCCCATGCGGTGGGCCAGTGGCACAGGAGCTGTGGGAGCCATCAGGAGCCTCAGCTGTTCACTGACAGCACCAAACACAGAGCAGAGCCTGCAGGGGACACCCTATCCTTGGGTCCCTGGGACAGGGGCGTAGGCAGGGCTGGGGCTGCACCCGCACTGGAGGCACAGAGCCCTGTCAGTGCTGCCCGCTGGCCCCACTAACACCTGCTAACCAGCTCACCAGAGTTTGGCTCTTGCCAGTGCCCTGTGGGAGAGTGTCCAGCACCTCCCACAGCAAAGAGAGTGCCCCAGAGATGGGCAGGGGACCAGAGGAGCACAGAGACCTCGAGCTCTCAGGTTAATCCCTGCTCGGGTCAGCATGGCACGGGGTGGCTGTGGAGGGGCACAGAATCAGGTTCCTCTGCCTGCCAGGAACAGGGCCTGGGGCCAACAGGGACTCAGGGTCCTCCTGAGTGGGAGGATGCCCATTCATGCAGTCACACCACAGCAAGCAGCACGGACATGGATGGGCAGGGCGGGATGGCGGGGCTGGCGCTGCAGAGCCCCAGCCCACAGCAAGGCTCAGCAGATGGACATGGCGTGCGGATGGTTAGTGGCCATGGGGTGAAATGGGCCATTGAGCTGGGGCAGGGGGACACAGTTCATACCCATTACTGTGACATGAGCAGTGCCTGCAAAGTAAGAAGAGGCAAAGGTGAGGTCTTGGTGGGAGGGTGCAGGAGCAGACCAGCTGCAGCTGGGCTGGGAGCTGGTTCCCCCTGGCAGAGCAGGGCACAGGGAGTGCTCTGCACGCCCAAGGGCTCTCCACACACTGTCCCTGGGGCTTGGGATCACAGAGAGGTCCAGGCATATCCCTCCTGCACAGTGCAGGGAAGCACCTGAGTCAGGAGGTGCCACCCAAAGAGGCTGGTGGGCTCCCCTCATCCTCCACTGCAGGACCCACAGCTCCCCCACCCCAGCCAGCAGGAACACCAGTGCCATCCCTGTGGCTGCTGCCTGCCACACTGACCCAGTCAGCAGACCTCTGGGATGGTGTGACCCAACTCCTGCCCCTCACCTTCATCCTCTGATACATCCAGAATCTCATCTACAGTCTCCGGGAAGCTCATGCGGTGCTTGTCACCAACTGGCTGTGGGAGCAGAGCAGAGTCAGAGGAGCCCTTCACTGCACAGCCATCCCAGCTGCTCCCAGCCCCAGCCCTCCCCCCCAGGGTGCTGGTGCCCGTTCCCCGGGGGCTCACCGGGATGTCGGTTTCCTCCGTGACGATCTTGAGCACGTCCGTGACGGAGATGTAGCCCAGGCGCTTTGCGATGGCCAGGGGAGTGGTGCCGTTCTGCCACGGAGCAGAGACTGGGTCAGCAGCAGCCACAGGGGGCCTGGGCAGCTGCCTGTGCTGGTCCCAGGGTGAGGAGGTGCGGGTGATCAGTACTCACCGTGCTGATCTCGTTGGGAGAGGCCCCGTGCTTCAGCAGCAGCGTCACCACGTCCGTGTGGCCCTGCTGCGCCGCTTGGTGCAGGGGGGTGTAGCCCAGCTGCAGGGGAGGACAGAAGGTGCTGCCATCAGTTCTGGGAGCCTGCTGCCCCAGCAATGCCCCCAGGCCTCACACTGTGCTTCATGCCCAGAGCATGAGGGCAGCTCCCTTCTCCATCAACCTGCATGCTGCTGCCCAGGGCAGACGGGTCCGTGGAGCACAGGATAACTTTGTACCTTAGTCTTGGCATTGACATCGGCTTGGTGCTGCAGCAAAAACTTCACCAGCTTGATGTTTCCGTAGTGGCTGGCCACATGCAGGGGGGTATAGCCCATCTGAAAGACAAGATGAGGTCTCAGCCTCTCCTCAACGGTGCTTTCTGCCCTTCTGGCTTGGATATGCTCATCCCACAGGCAAGCCCCACGCATGAGGGATGAGGCACATGTGTGGGTGTTTCCCCAAGAGCCCAAGACCAGGGCAGAGGGCTCACTGCAGACTGTGCTGTACCCAGGGGTGTAGGGGTGAGCTATGGGAGCAGTTAAGAATCATCCCTCCAGTGAGGTGGGAGGTGGAGGAGGAAGAATCCCCAAGACACTGGTAAAATGGTAAGAATGCCTGTGAGAGGGGAGTCTCTTGCACAAAGCAAGAGAAGAGCAATGCTCCTCCTGGAGCAGGCCTAGAGGCAGTTCCCTCATGTTTTTCACCACAGCCACGGTCAATGCACTACTTTACCCTGGTCGTTGCATCCACTGTCACTCCATGTTTCACCAGAACATCAGCAACCAGCACATGCCCCTCTTGGGCCACAAGATGGAGAGGAGTCAGGCCACTCTGCAAAGAGAGGAGGTCTCAGCACAGTGGCAGTGCCACCACTGCAGCTCCACCAGCAGAGGCTCTGTCAGGTCTCCAGCCTGGCAAACTGACTGGCACTGTGCTGCTGGCCATGGCACTGCTCCCCGGGCACAGGGAGGCACAGGGGCCTGGCCAGCAGCGAGTCTGCTGCTCTCTGCCAGCTCGTTCACCTCCAGCCTGGCAGCATGTGCTGGGACAACTTACCTTGTTGCCAAGGTCACCGTTGGCTTGCTTGGAGAACAGCAGGGCCACCATGTCTGCGTGCCCCTCCTGGGCAGCCAGGTGCAGGGGGGTGACTCCCTGCACAGACTCGGCGTTTGCAGAGGCCCCGTACTGCAGCAGGCTGCTGGCCACCTCCAGCTGGTTCTGCTTGGCAGCGATGTGCAGGGGGGTGTACCCATTCTGCGGGGAGAGAGGCTCCTTGCAGTGCTCAGCCCCGCCGAGCTGACCAGCAGGGACAGGAGGTGCCACCCCGCCCCTGCAGGCCAGGTCTGCCCTTCCCGGTTGCCCCTGAAGCTCAGGGATGCTCCCAGACCATCTTCCTGACAGCAACTAGCCCTGACACTGAGGCCAAATCCCACTCTTCCAGCCAAGACAGCATGGGGGTTTCAAAGACCACCTGCTTCCCGTCCAGCTGCTAAGGGCTGTCCTGGAGTTTTCCGCAGATGAATTTCTGCAGCAGCCTCGGGGAGCTCTGAGAGGCCAGGGCAGACAGACACCTCCTGGAACGTGCCTGGCTAGGGAGTGGAGCTAAACTCCCAGTGCACAGCATTAGTATTCAGGCAGGGACTGCAGGGCCCCGAGTGCTGCCCCTGCTGCCACGCTGCAGGAGCAGAGCAGCTGGCAGACACCCGCTGCCCAGGGTGACGCGCGGGCTGTCGGTGACGCAGCCCGACGGGGGCTGGCACCGGCACCGGCTGCTCCCGGTGCCTGCCCAGCACGTCTGCCGGCAGCCTGCGCAGGGGAGAGGAGAGTGCCAGATGGGCAGGGCTGGCACCAGCAGCCACTTGGCTGTTTTCAGGATGCAGCTTCTGCAAACAAGGCAGAAAGCGAGGCGACTGCTGGTCTGCTCTGTGGGGAGATGCTCCCCACGCTCAGGCAGAAAGGGGCGACTCTCACAAGCTCGTGGGTTTTCTGACTCACTGCTTCATAGCTGCATGAAAACATTTGTGTGTGGTTTCCCAAACTGCCAGCACGCAGTGCTGCTCTGCAGGACTTGCCATGGAAACACGTTCCCCACACAGCAGCCACCATGCTGCCAGCAGGGACCATCCCTGACACAGCCTATCTGCTGGAACAGGACCATTGCCTGGCACCCCGCCTGCCCCACGTGTGGTGCGAGGACAGGCAGGCACGAGCAGCAGGTGTGGAGAGAGGCTGGTGGGGTTGGTCCCTTGTACATTCCCTGAGTGTCAGGGTTGAGGGGCAGTGCTGGCCGCAGGCTGGCAGGCACTGAACACACAACACCTCCCCACATCCCCAGGGACACCCAGCCCAGACTCACCCAGGCTGAGTTGTGTGGGGAGCTCCCCTTGGGAAGCAGGAGTTTGACAATCTCCAGGTTGTTGTGGTGCACAGCCACATGCAGCGGGGTCAGGCCATTCTGCAGAGGAGGAGAGGGTACAGACAGGTGAGACAGACCCTCTCCCCAAACTGTACAACTCCTCCCACAGCTCCAGAAGCAGCACTCACCTTCCCTGCCGCATTGGGGTGAGCATCGTGTGCCAGTAGCAATTCTGCCACATCCACCTTCCCATACTTGGCTGCAACGTGGAGAGGGGTAAATCCTTTCTGAGGAGAAAGGCAGCCCATCACAGGGTGGCAGAGATGAGGAGAGTGCTAGCGCACGCTGTGCCACAGGAGGAGGCTGCCCCTCCTGCAACAGGGACACTGTGCCACCAGCCTGCCCAGCCTTGGCCCAGCTGGGTGACACCTTCCACAGCCGTGCACTCAGTGGTCTACCTTGGTCATGCAGGTCTGCAAGGCCCCCTTCTCCAGCAGGGCCAGGGCCGTGTCCATGTGCCCCTCTCTGGCAGTGATGTGCAGGGGCGTGTGCCCCGCCGTGGTGGCCAGGTTGGGGTTGGCGTTGTTCTCCAGCAGCAGTTTGACCATGCCGGTGTGACCGATGCGTGCAGCACAGTGCAGGGGAGTCTGGTCATCCTGCCAGGGAGGCAAAGGAGCTGTTTGGGTAGACCTGGGCCAGTCCCTTCCTGCCATGCCAAAGGGGTCCCAGCCCTGCTCCCGCTGTTGCACAGCCCCTGGCAGGCTGGACTATGGGCATGTGAGAGCAAAGAAACCAGCACTGGCTGTTCCCAGAGCTGACTATCACACAGGCTCTCTGCACCTACCTTGGCCTTGGCATTGGCCTTGGCTTTGTTCTGCAGCAGGTACTTTGCCACATCCGTGTGCCCAGCTCTGGCTGCCATGTGTAGGGGTGTCTCCACTTTCTGTACCAAGGACAGGATAAAGTGGTGAGGCCGAAGGAGGGGCTATGCCTTCCTGCACTCGTTCCTCTGCTCTGAGCAGAGGAGAGTAGTGCCTGCAACCTTATCTGGCCCACACTAGTTCCTCCTGCCAGGACAAAGAGGGCACCAGGGACTGCTCAGGTGAAAAGAGGGTGCAGGACTTGAGCAATTCTCACATCCTGCTGACCCCCAGCATTCTGAGCTCCCAAAGCCCCAGCCAGGGTGGGCACTCACCACGTTGGACACGTTAGGAGAGGCTCCACGCTGCAGCAGGGTCTTGACGATGGGCAGGTGCCCCATGAAGGCAGCCACATGCAGGGGGGTCAGGCCAGACTGTGAAGAGAAAGGGATCAGGAGCCAAGATGGGACTGATGGCCTTGTCAGCATCTCTTCCTGCCCCTTCCTCCCTCTCCCAGGGCACGTCCCAGTACAGAGGCAAAATCTCCCCTGCAAACCCCTGCCCTGCAGGGAGGTGCTGCCAGGCTCAGCAGGTCCTGAGCTGCAAAGAGCTCCCAGAGAGGTTCCTGGGCACCGGCAGAGGCAACAGGGCCATCTGGTCCTGCCTGCCCTGTCCAGGCAGCAGCAGCAGGGCCGGGGCTGGGCTCACACCTACCTCTGTGACGGCGTCAATGGAGGCCCCTGTCTTCAGCAGCAGCTCCATCACGCGGATGTGGTTCTTCTTGCAGGCGATGTGGAGGGGCGTGAAGCCGTTCTGCAGACAGACAGACGGACAGGCAGACAGTCAGTCATTCGCAGGAACACCCCTCTCTCCCCTGGTCCAGCCCCGCCCGCCCCTCCTTGCTCACCAGGGCTCTGGAGTTGGGCTTGGCGCCCTTCTCCACCAGCAGCTTGGCCACGCGGTGGTGGCCGCAGTGCGCGGCCACGTGCAGCGGCGTCAGGTGGTCCAGGGTGATGTCGTCGATGTCGGCGCTGTACTGCAGCAGCAGCCGCACGCAGTCCAGGTGGTCGCCCTGCGCTGCCATGTGGATGGGCGACAGGCCGTTCTGCAGGGGAGCGGGGCCTCAGGGCTGGGCAGGGAGGGGCACCAGACATCCCACCCACGTCCCACCCGCACCCCCGGCAGCAGTTCTGGAGCTCTGGGACAGAAGGGACAGCCTGTTCCCCGGGGGGCTACCAGGGAGGAGCCCTGAAATCCCCCCCTGACTTAGAGAGGAACAATGCTGAGTGGAGGGCAGCGCCTGAAGAGCTGTTGTCCCCAGGCCATCCCCTCCTCAGGACTGGTCCCTTTGAAGCATGAAGCCCTCAGGCAAAGGACTCCAGCTAGAGCCAAGGAAGGTCCTTACCCCTCAGCAGTCCACAAAAGCCCCAATCCAGCCATGGGTGCCATCCACAACTGTGCACAGCTCGTTACCCCCCTGCGCTGCCCTGGGACCCAGCACCAAGCACAGCCCTGCTGAGTCCCACGGCTACCTTCGTCTTGGCTTGAATGGGAGCCCCGTGGTCCAGGAGGATCTCTGCAATTCGCACGTGTCCATTGCGTGCGGCACAGTGGAGAGGGGTCAGCTCATCCTGGGGAGAGAGAAGGGCCCAAGGTCTTGGTGTGGCACAGAAGGGCAGGGTTTCCTCAGGCAGATGAGTAAGAGGGACTTTCAACTTGTTTGCAAAATAAGGCAAAACTCAGTCTGCCCTCAGCCCCCAGGGCACACCCTTGCAGCCATGAAGCTCCGTGGCTCCTCTCACCTCTACCTGTGCCAGCAAAAAGCCTGGTCCATCCCCTTAGTGCAGCAGGGACCTTCCCTCACAGCCCCAGCAAGAGGTTTGCAGGGTAAGCACTGGAGCTCAGGGAGGGACAGCCCCGTGTACAGACGGGCTGTGCTCAGAACTGCTCTCACCTTGGTCCTTGTTTCGATCTGGGCCCCGCGGTCCAGCAGCAGCCGCACCATGATGATGTTGCCCCGGCGGGAGGCAATGTGCAGGGGAGTGATCCCGTTCTGTCAGGAAGGGCAGCAGTCCGTTAGAGGGAGCAGCCCCTTCTCTTTCCAGAAGGCAAGGGTTGAACAAAGGGAGCCCCGGTAGCTCCCCCCTCTGCGCTCACCTGTGGCGTGAAGTTGACGCTGGCTCCGCGGTTCAGCAGTAACTGGGCCACACTGAGATTCTCATAGTGGGCTGCAATGTGCAAGGGAGTGAATCCAGTCTAGGGGAAAGAAGGAGGGATCAGCCCAGCCAGACAAATGCTCCCTGCTGGAAGGATGGATGCAGACAGCCTACCAAGCTGCTGTTCCCCCTGGGGATGTGGGGAAGCTCCCAGAGACAGGATGGGAAAAGCACACACCTTGGAGAGGACGTCAGCATTGGGGTCGTTCTGCAGCAGCACAGCAGCTGTGCGAGTGTCATCGTTGCGGGCTGCGATGTGCAGGGCGGGCAGGCGGACCTTCCCCTTTGTCCCATAGTTAATAAGGTGAGCTACCACGTTCTCATGCCCTTGCTGGAGAGCCACAGCCAGTGGCGTGAAGCCATCCTGCCAAGGAGACCAGGTAAGAAAGGGAGAGCCAAGGAGCCATGGCAGAACCCAGCACATCCCACAGTAGCCCTCCCACGCAGGGCCATAGGCTGCCCCACAAGGATCTCACCTCTGTGGCTACATTCTGGTTGGCTCCGTTTTCCAGCAAGAACTTCACAACTTCCAGGTGGTTCTCCTGCGCTGCCATGTAGAGAGGTGTGAAGCCTTTCTGCAAACACAGGGCCATGCACATCAACACAGCTCTCCTCGAGTTTCTCGAGTTCCTTGCAGACCTACACCCCATCAACACCCACACCCCCAGCTCAGTGAACTGGGGCAAAACCATCCCAGTGTGGGTGTGAAAAAGCAAAAAAACCTGGCAAGGGTGAAGCAATCACAGAGCTGGAACCCAGGGCTCCACACATCCAGAAAAAAAACAGCTGATAGCTCACAGAGTCAACCCAGGAGACACTGCCATTCCTGTCTCCAGCTTCAGGGACGTTTCTCCCATCAGGCAAAATCTAAAGAGCTTGCAGCCCCACCAGGCCCAAGGGAGAGAGCTTGAAGGAGGCCCAGTGTGTGGAGCTGGAGATCTCACAGCTCTGCCAGGAGGCATCAGCCATGAGTCCCCCCAGGACAAGTCCTGCATGCTTGTGTGTGCTGCCAGGGACTCCCTCAGCAGAGACCATGCTGGTCTCCCCACAAGACTCCCTCAACACCATTTGCACGCTCATCTCCTCTCAGGGGTCTGGCAGAGCAGTCCTTGCCCCTGAACAGGACTAGAGAGAAACTGCAAGGGACTGCTGAAGTGCCCACGCTGGGCACAGTTCCCATCATGAGGACACCACCATCACACCCTGGGTGCCTTTCCCGTTCCAGACCAGGTCACCCTACCTGTGACTGGGCGTTGACATTGGCCCCATAGTTCACCAGCTCCCGGACCACGTCCTGCTGTCCAGCCAGGGCAGCGATGTGCAGGGCTGTGTTTCCCTTCTAAAAGACACCACAAGGCAGTGTTCAGGGGCTGAAGCAGCCCAGGACACCAAGGGAAGATGGGTCTGACATGTGCTAACGAGCATGCAAACAGAGCAGCTGGCCAAGAAAGCCCGTGAGGGGCCATGCAGCCCTCGCTCCACGTCCCATCCCTGCCGTGGACCAGCCAGCCACCCTTGCCATGTGCTGGCCAGGGAAGAGAGTGATTTCATCTCTCCCATGAAGCTTCTGGCAGTAAAAGCTGTATGCACTGTCAGGTGCTGTGCACCTCCATCACTGAGAGATGAGAAGGGTAGGGAGGATGGGGGAGCTGAACTGGCAGTCTCCAGACAAAGCTGCAGTGTGTGCCCTGGTAGCCAAGGCACCCCAGCAGATCGAAGGGATGATGAGCAGGCTGGAAAATGCAGACACAGGTTCTGCCTTTAGGTGGTGAGGCAGAATGCCAGACTCTGCTCTGTGTCCTGGACCCTGCAAGAGCACCAGGGAGGTGGCAAGCGAGGCCTCCTCCTGTTCTCGCAGCCCTTCAGGCGGTGCTGATGCTCATTTGTCAGCCCTGCTCGCTTGTGCCGCTGCCTCGCTTGTCACCAAGCAAGAACCACACCCCGCTGTGGCGATGCACGGGAGAACAAGATGTTATTTATGGAGCACCAGAGCTCTCCAGGTTTGTGACAGTGGTACTGAGGCCACCTCAGTGCTGCAGCACGCAGGGGCAGCGAGGGCTGACCTGAGCCAGCAGCCCGTGCTGGGGGAGTTGTTCATGAGACAGCACCAGCACATGTTGTGGTTTATGTTACCCCCTTTCAAGGGGAGTGGCCCCTCAGGGAGAGGCCAGACTGTCTTATCCTTACCTTGGTCGTTGTCTCCAAAACAATCTCCTTGTGCAGCAGCTCCACCACCATTTTCACATGGCCCTCCTTGGAGGCCAAGTGCAAGGCATTCAGCCCGTTCTGGAGGGAGCAAAGGTGGGAGAGGGGAATTAGTCACCATCTGGGGCTGGGGCTCTCTGGGGAGCCTCCTGCTCTGAGCTCCTGTGCAGACACGACTGCAGGCATTTGGACACCCACTTCCACTTCCCATGTAACAAAAGGGCTGGGATAGTTGCTGGAAAAGAGGCTAAATAGCTGCAAATGCCACTTTTCTCCTTGTCCCTCACTTCTCCCAGGTGGATGCACTAGGTTTACTCACCCCTACACAGTGTTGTCACATGGCAGAGGGACAGGAGTTCCTGCCCAAGTACTCCACCTCCCAACCATCTGTTCGGACTCCTGACTGGAATGTCAGTTCACAGAAATGCTTCATCCTCTGAATATAGGTAGGGGAGCAGAAAATACTCAAGGAGGCTCCAGTTCCTGCCCTCAATACTCCAGTTAAAATCAGAACAGCTTCAAGAGTGTTGCCAGACTGGAAAAGGGGTTTCCACCCTTTCTCACTCTAAGCACCAGTTGTCCAGGACCATAGCTGAAGAGTTACAGATTCTTTTGCTCAACTCTGGTTACAGCAATAAAAACAAAACCCCGAGGGCTTCCTCAGCATACCAGCTCCAGTGTTCCCTCCAGCCTCAAGCACAAAAGACTTGTTTCCAAGGGGAAATGAAGTGGGTGTGCTGCAACACCCATAGAGCAGTGTCACTTAAAGGAAATACCCCCCAGCCAGGTCTGGCTACACTGAGTCCATCTCCTCTGACCGAGCCCAGCTTCTTTGATGAAGACATACCTACACAACCCTGTACCAATGATCACTGGCATCCTTGCCTCACAAGGGATAAGAGGCCATGGACATGAAGGCTTTTTCTTGGTCACACTCATGTAACCAACACCTGGAGCGCAAGACCACAGATGCCCAGCTGCTCTCCTCAGCCCATATGCCCTTTTACGCAAAGGATTCATAAATAACCTTTTGCATGCTGAAAACTGTGGACAAATCATTACTCTCTGTCCTAACAGCAATAAGTGCAGCGTCTGCAGAAGATTGTTTCCATCGGTATTTCTGCTCCAGGAACAACACAGGCTGTTTTGCACATTTGCTTTGGCTTGACAGCTCATCTGACCCAAAACAGCCACAGGATGTGCGTAATCTGAAAGGTGCAGTGTTGTCCTCACCAAGTGCTGCAAACACTTCCCAGAAATCCCAGTCACTGGCTGCCAATGCGACAAATGCAGCCCTACAGAAAAACACAGGCTTTGCACTCAGCCTGCCCCAGAGCAGGGCCCTGCCCTGGACTGTCCATCAGGGCTGGCCACCCCAACAAAGACCATCTCCGGGCACCCCTGTGCCAGCACAGCGCTGTGTCCTGCTGGGGAGAGTCCTGGCAGCAAGGTGCACTCATCTCCAGGCCTCCAGCTCCTTGTGGGTGAGATGGGAGCATGCTGGGCTTGGAAACACAAGAGGTGGATGAAGAAGACGCTGATGCAGATGGCAGTGATGGAGGGGATGAAATCGGCGGGATGAAGATCAGATGGCATGTCAAGGTCTCTGCACTTGAGCAAGAATACAGGGCCTGTGGGATAGGTCTGACCACATATATCCCTCTTTATTCTATACAGGACATGTGAGGTTGGACCTTTCCCACAGGTCTGATATTCCTCAGAAGGAAACCCCAAAGTGCCATCTAACCTCTGGGAGATGGCAGGAACCAGTGCAAAGGCATCACTGAGAGAAGTGCCTCATTCTGCTGTAGCCACTCAGTCCCCATCAAAGTGTTAATCTCCTCACCAGCACCGGAAATCTGGTTGGAGACAGGACTTGAAGCTGGTCAGTGGAGACAGCTGATGACTGACCATCTCTCTGGGTGAGGAAGAAGTTCAAAGCCACCATCTTTAGCTTGTGGCTGGGTCTCCCTGCTGTAATTCTTTGCAGAGCCCCCTCCAGAACCGCATATTCCTCTGCACTAGAGTGTTACAGGACCAGTGGACATAGAAATCCTCCCTCTGCTCTTAGGTTTGCTATCAGAAATGATGGAACATCCGTGGTGGGCTCTACCTGTGCCTGGGGGGCCTGTCCCCAGTGACTGCACTGGCCACCACAGCACACAAACCACAGGTCTGAACTTAGCTCGGTTTGGGGACTTTGTGCTGGAAAAGGTGACTGTGCCTTTGTGCCGAGTCAGCCTCCCCAGCACCAGCCCTGCTCCAGAAGGCAGCCAGTAGTGCCTGGCTGCTCCCCCTGCTCGGGCTGAGCCCCCTGAGTCTGTCCCTGCCCCAGTTCAGGCTCAGCCACTCGCATTTGGCAGCTACACAGATACAAAATGTTCTGACAATGATGTGCAAACAGCTCCTTAGTGCCTGCAGCTCTTTGTTCCTGTGCCGACCTGTCTGTGCTCTGGATGAGGAGGGCTCCTCCTGCCCAACACCTCCCAAAACACCACGACTGGCATTTTGCAAACATTCCCTGTTGAAGCTTCTGGGAAGCTGAAAAAGCCTGAGCATTGCAGGCAACAGGAATATTCCCCAAGAGCCACTCCTATGATGTTCCAGCCCCTGTGCTGCTCTTTACAGCTATCTGCTCTGCCCTCTGAGAAGCAGCTGAGCCCCTTCCAGATGTCCCAGTTGCTTGTCACACTAAAGGAGCCCTCTCTGCTTACCTGGTAATGTCCTTTGCTGTGCTCCAGCAAGCACATCCAGGCACCCCAGATCTTTACAGTTATTGCTGCCCTCCTGGCCCCAAAGACAACTGCTTCAGACCTGCCTTCTGGTCAGCCACATTTCCACATGAACTAGAGATGGTACAAGAAGCCCTGTGGGTTTCACCTACCTGGTTACAGGTGTTAATATCTACCCCATTCCTGAGGTGATCCAAGGCTTTGTCCAGATTCCCGGATCTTGCAGCTCTCAAGAAACTGGTTGCAGCATCAGCCTTGGAGACAAAAAGAAAAAGCATGAAAACTCAGAGTCCTGACACCGGGTCAGCCCTTTGCTCGGCTGCAGAGAACAGAATTACAGAGACCTCCAGGCAGAAAAGGCAGAGGCCAGGGAGGTCACAGTGGGAACTGCTGCGACACACTGAGGTGCCCCAAATCAGACAGGAAGAAGGAGGGCTGGGACCTGGACTTAAAGTGAAGAGCATCCAGATGGCAGGGCAGGAGTCTGCAGCTCATCACAGCACTGTGGGGATGGTAGAGAGGGAGGTCCTGCCACCGTGGCAGCCCCCCTTGGCCCAGGAAACCCCTCTGTGTCCAGGTGAGCGATGGGTCTGTGGTGAGCCCACCCCTACCCTCCTGCAGAAGCCACCAGATAGCCACAGTGGCAAACTCAGGAACCAGCACCAGGGACAACAGCCCCAGCTGAGAACCCTGCAGCTGTGAAAGTCAAAGCTCTCTCTTCTGACAGTGCCTCCCTGCACTGCTACACCACAGCCAGCCCAGGCGAGGCACAGCAACACTTCAAGCAACACTATGAGCAGTGTGAGGCAGCAGATGAAGACAATGGCATGGCTCACCAGAAGCTGGAGAACAGGGTGGAAATGCAGTGATGTGGGTCTGTGAGTCTGGGACCTTGGACTGGTAACTCCAAGCTGCTCAGGACAGCCCAAAAGGCTCTCTGCAGCCAAGAGCCATGAGACATCCATGCCAGGGGCACAGGACACGTTCCTCTGTCCTCAGCTCCAAGAGAAAAATCAGAAGCCCTCTTGTACCACTCACATTGGGACCTCCTGTCTAGGAGAGCCTCTGTCCTGCCACCCCAGAACATCCTGTAGTGCCCACAGCCTGGCTGCAGAAGAGTACCCAGGATTAGGAAGCTCCTGGACAGGAGCTGGAAGCAACAGGACCACAGACAGAAGCCCTGGAGGCAAATCTAAGGAGGATGATGTACTACATGAGTTCAGGCTCCTCTCTTACCTTCTCTTTACAGTCTCAGATATCTGAACTGGGACTTTGGAGCAGCACAACTCAAATGCCTTCTGCTCTCCTCCATCTGCCTCCCCAGCTCATCCTTTCTACCTGACCCTCCTACCCCCGGAGAAACACAGCCGTGTCCTGGGCCCACCCTGCTATCCCCTGCAGACAGAAGGCCCATGGACGCGGTGTCCTGGCCCTACCAGGACAGGCACAGAGCTCAGCTTGGGCTCCCACCCCAGTGGAGGGTGCCACGGGCGGCAGGACCGCTGTGCCCCGTGCTGGTGCGTGCCAGGGGAGCACGTGCTGGCCGCTTGACCTCCCGCGCCAGCTGGCTCCGCTCGCCGCCACCTCAGAGGAGCCCCGTCCAGCAGGGAAGAGCCCTCAGAGTCACGGTGGAGCCTGGCTCTGGGAGGTGTGTGAACACAGAGGAGGCAGAACACAGCCCCTCAGAGCTCTGCCCACACGGGAGGATCGACTGCCAGAGGCAGAAGGCGACAGCAGCGCGGTGCTTGGAGTGCTCGTTCACGCCCTGAGCCCTGGGTGCTGTCTGGGGTCCAGTAAGGAAACACTGACAGCTTCGAGCAACAAGCTGAATGCAAAGAGCTTTTCCAACTGGAAAAGCTTCCAGACCCTGCTGGAAGTCTCTGCGTCTCAGGTCAGGATTGAGGACAAGGCAGCACCTCAGCTGTGCCGCCAGCATGCCAGCACAGCACAGCCCCTCGACAGCAAACCCCCTGGAAAACCAAAGCTCAGCCAGGTCTGCCACCCGTGGAGCTCTGAAGATTAAAATGGTAACTCTCTACATGGTCCAGCAGCAAAGGGGCTCCTAAAGCCCCAGCACACCCAGCAGCAGAGACTACAAGCAGAAAGCAAGCAGAAAAGCAAAGCAGAGGTCTCTGTGGGCATGAAGGAGAAGTGCATTGTATACTCACAGCCACGTCTGGACCAGACCTGCCCTTTCGTGCTGCCATAGCCCGGCACTTCGGCTGAAACCTGAGCCTGGTGTCCCCTCTCTCGCTCCTTGGTTATCTACTCCCCAGCTTTGAGAGAGCCAGTAAGTTACATTGCATTCTATCTAAAAATACAGGCTCCGTCCTCTCTCCAACGCAGACCCTGAAGGGATCGCCAACTGCTAATGGAATTTGTTCATTTTCTCTCCATTATTGTGTCAGACAGGATATTTAATACCGAGCTGCCTCCGGAAAGCAAATGAGTGCTGCCAAGCGCAGGGAGTGGGGCAGAGCTGCAGGTACCACCTCGGGAACGGCAGAGGAAAAGCACCCCGCAGACATGCCCAGGAGCCTGGCATCTCCCAGGGAACTCCTGCCACAGAGGAGAGGGCTTGCGGTTCCCTCCCGACCCTCTGGATGCTGGGGCCCGGGTCTCGGAGGATGTGCCAAGGCTGGAGTGAGTCAGAGGTGCTGCCTTTGGCTCCCTGTGCTCAGCATGTACCTTCAGAGACGCGCAGAGAGATGCACGGCATCAGACACCAGCAGTCAGACCACACATGCTGCCAGAGAAGATGGGACAGCTCAGCTCAAATGGGAAAAGCAGAGGAAATGGATCCACAGTCATATTGTCCTTCTGATGTCAGGCTGCACAGTGGGACTGCCTGCCTATGGATGGGGGCAATTCGCTCCCCAGGGAACAGGAGCACGAGCCAGGCCACTGCCACCTCCCAAATTTCGGCAAAAGGGAGCAGCAACAGCAAGAAATGCAGAGACCCCATGGACACGTGCACATCAAGAAGATACACTCAGAACATCCCAGTCAGCACCACCCCACCACACCCAGAGAGAGACACATTGCCCAGTCACCATGCAGTGGTGCAGCACAGCCCTGCCTCGTGCACACAGGGTCACCCCCATCCCCGTGCCCCAGGACACGCAGCAACGGCTTCCAGATGCACAAACTGCCTCTGCTGCTTCTCCTTTATTTGCAGTTTGCAGAGTTTCTTTCCAGTCTTCTTCTCCTTCCTAGCAATTTCCCAGGAAGGAGCTATTCCAGAGGAGAAAATAAACTGCCCCACTTGCTGATGAGTACCTCTTGCACTCTCACTAAATCCTAAATTTAATCTGCTAAAGCCTATACACAGGCGTCACGCTCCACAGACTTGTGGCCATCCAAGCTGTGATGTGTCAGGAGGCTGCTGCCAGCAATTCCCCAAGAAAGAGGCCTCCGATATGACTTTGATAAGTGCTCCAAGACCTTCTAAAGTCAAAAACACAGCACAGAGCATCAGACTGCACTTCTATTCTCCTTCCCTTTCTTCTCTTCAGGAAAAACCCCCTTGCCTGCTGACAGTATAAATTTTTCCCTTTCCCTCTGCCCTGGTTTCAGCCAGGATAGAGTTAATTTCTTTTCCTCACGCTGTCCTGGCCCTGATGAGAGGCTTCCTCAGTTCCTGTTCACAGGTGCCCTCCTGCTCCTACACCATTAATGCCCCTTCACCCCAGCAGCAGAAGGCTGGAGCTGCCTGAGCCCCTTGCACTGGAGCCATGGCCAAGGCAATAAGCAAAGGGGACGTTCTGCCAAACCAGAGGCTCGGGCTGGATTCAAGGGCTGCAGTCTGAGCTTCAGTAAGCATGTTGTTCCTCCTGCTCTTATCTCTTTAGCAGTGCCTGCTCTCACTCCCACCAGCACCTGCTGCCCATCGCCGATAACAGGAGGGAGGGGCTCAGCACTGCCTCTTCCTGCGAAAGGTGGCCACACTTGGCAAGAGCCCACCCTGTACAAGCTGCTAAAAGCTGTATGTCGATGATTTCCAAGTGCAGATAAGTTCGGGGACTTGTGCTGATCTCCCCGTGTTTTCTGGGACACAAAGGCAGCGAGGAGCGAGTCGCCACGCTGTTCCAGCCTGGCAGGAGGCACACGTGCACCCTGCTGCACTGCCCTCTTTACCCTGCCTGCCCACTGGTGTCCTCAGTGGGGCTGACACGGCCTCGTGGAGCAGTGGCAGAGGAGGCTTAGCACAGAAACTCCTGCAGGCCAGGCAGCACCCACTCACCCCACAGCCAAAGGGCCCCAGGCCTGGCAGCGAGATGCCAACGGGACCCTGGCACCGAAGCCACGTACTGCTGTGGACTCCCTGTCTGGATGCTGTGGAAAGGTCCAGCTCACATCTCAGAGGTCATGCAGTTACTTCCAGCTGCTAATAATAATACCAGCCTGCTGGAGCCCAGAGCCAGCGCTGCCACCTGGGCAGGCGCAATAAACCTGGCATCAGCCCTTGGCATTTGCTTTGATGTCTCCTTGCTCACGTGGGCTTGAGTCCAGCAGTGGCCATGACCTTCACCTTTGAGATATTGTTTCCAGCAGACAGCAAACCCTCACATCCCTGCAGTGGTTCACTTTTAAGCCATTGCCCAACCTAGGAATTTCTGTGGAGCCAGAGATCATTTGGACCTCCCTCTGCCTTGCCAGCTCCAAGTGCCCAGGGTCTGCAGGTGATAACCTCGATCCTTTCCCATCAGATGAGAAGAATTTGTCAGTCCTGCAAACACACTAAAAGAGCTGCTAAGGTTAAGAGCAGTCAGAGATTACATCTAGGGTCCCTGTAGGATGATCAGGGAAGATCAGGAAAACTGAATCATAGTTTCAACTCAAAATGATCAGAAATGGAAACCACACTGTCTGTCTTACAGGAACTTTCTCTCCTATCTGTATTAACAGAAACTGGATGCTCTCAGTGATCCCTGCAGTGGAAAGAAAACCTACTGGCAGGTTTCAGCCTTTTGAGAAGGCAGCATTCAGCAGAGCACAGCGTCTCCAGAGAGGCCACAGGAGCAAAGCCTCAGGCAGGCAGCCAGCAGAACATGGAAAACAGGCAGATACTGCAAACCCAGATGAAAGAGAAAAGCAAAAGCACTAGGAAAATTCATCTGATGAGTGCATCAATCCATATGCCCAAGTTCTGTTCTCTCACCATCCTCACCTCTGCCACGTGATTTAACACAGGTCCACAGACCTTAATAGGACTGATGAGAGTCAAGGCACAAGAACTCATCTCTGGAAGGCATCTGACAAGTGAGTTTGTTCCCATTTCATACACCAGCCTGAGTAAATCCTTTGTCCATGCTCTTTTCTGCTGAGTGAAGATTTCACAGCAGCCCCAAAGCATGTACCTTGGTATGCCCAACAGAGATCCCCAAACCATGATGGAAGGGGAAGCTCAACTCTCTTGCAGCAGGTGAATCAGAGCACACAGGGAATGAAAGATCTATTCATATTCCCATGCAAGGGGCTGACAGAGCTGGAGAACAACTGACAGAGAAATCCCAAAGCAGAAGGAGGGCCCCGGGCAGGCTTGTGGGAATGGGGGCAACTTAATTAGCATTTTGACAGTGCTGAAGAGGGGGCAAGCTTTCAGGTGGCAGCACCAGACTGGCCTCTCCACCACGCACAATCCTCCATCATTACATAATGATGAGTAATGCGCTTTTGGAAAGCCCCTTTTTGTGCCCAGGAGAGGTAGTCCTGGGCTGTCACTGGTGGTGCAGGTCAGGTTAACTCGGTCCCTGCTGAGCATTTGTGCTGCCATTTGACTCCTTCCTTCCCCCTTCCTGGGTCCCCTTTCCCTGCTGCAGCTGGAACAGGTTCAGAACTGTGAGGAGGGCAGATAGCAGGAGCAGCCTAATCTGCACTGAGCAAGGCAGCAAGGAGCTGCCCCTACCCAGCAGACTGATCCTTCTGATACGGATCCCCTGGTGCTGCAGCTCTGTGGAAGCCTTCCCTCCAGCAATGCCTGCCTGCTGCTCACAGAATTTCTAAGCAGTGGGACTGAGACCTTTTTCTGTCATTTATAAACTATCACTTCCCTGTGAAGTACAGTGCTGAGTCCAGCAGAGAGTGGAGAGAGGAACAGGGACTGGTCCAGAAACCTGAGCAGTGAAAGGAGACCAGGACATCTTTCACATAGAGCCAAAGAAAGGCAAGAATTAACACAGCTACTGCTCCTCTGCCAGCTGAGGCCACGCACACCCAGGGGAAAGCTGTCACTCTCCTTTGATGTTAGCAGGAGCCTCTGCTCTCTGCATATCCTGAAAAAGAAAAGCTATTTTTACCTCATCAGAAAATATATAGACTGTGACTGAAGACAATACACAAGAGCTTTTTGCTCAGGCACTACACCTCTTCTAACAGCATAACAACAATTACAGCTGCTGAGAGAGATGCAGCAGAACAGCAACTGCTTTCTATCTCCTGCTTTCCTGAGGCACTACCTTCTCTGGACCATGGCATGGTTCAGGCAGGTCTGTGCAATGAGCACTGGGGAGCTGAGAGGGCTTTTAGCAGGATGCCCAGTGCAAGGGGGAATCAGAGACAGGGTCTGAGCCTGCCTGCTGCCAGCCAGGGACTGACACAGCTTGTGGCCCAGCTTCAACCTGCCCTGGGTTCTGTCAGCGCCCTCGTGCTCAGGTGAGGCGCTGGAGTTCAGACCATGCCATCAGGATCTGCCCTGGCACCCTGTGGAGAAGGTTCCTTCTCTTTGCTAGCAATGCTCACAAACTGCTCCTGACTCCTGCAGTCTGTTCTGACTCATTCCCTACCTCTGCTCCAGCAGGACGAGCCTGCACCAGCTCTGCCTCCTGCACGGGCAGGAGCGCTGAGGAGGGGACTGTTCTCTGGGATCTGCACCCTGGGAGGAGTCACAGTCCAGTCCTTGTGCTGGGGCTGCTGTGGGTTCACTGCCTGCAGCCAGCCCAGCACTCGGGGTGCAGCCTCAGAAGCCATGCGGGAAGAGAAGCACTGACAGGAGAGCACCTGAGCACAGCCCTGGCTGGCCCTGCCAGCGGGCCCTGGGGAGGACATGAGAGCAAAGCATGGCAGCACAGCCCCCTGCCCTGCCCAGAGCCAGGGCACACTGTGCTGAGGGACAAACAGCACCCGGGCGCCCGCCCCAGGGTAAAACAGCAAAGCAGCAACACAGAAATCAACACACGTGATGGTCTGGACCTGGCTCCCAGCAAAATGCCCAAGCCTGCAGTTGTAGGTTCCCTCCCCCCATGAACACAAGGGAGAAGAGGGGAAAAAAACCTACCAAAAACTACCGAAATGACAAAACCAAAGCAATATATATATATATATATATATTTACATCTATATACAGTTACAAAGAGACTATATATACAAAAATATATAAACAATATATAAACAATATATAAACAAAAAGAGTCCCAACTCCCCAAAACTAAAACAGAAAATAAAACCCAATATACGCAGATATACACAGCTAACACAGAACTAGCAAACCAAAGACCAAAATATTTTCCTTAAAAAGACGAAAGCCGCTTCACCAGACCCCTCAACCCGGACTGGGAAAAACAACCTGCTGTCTTCAAGTCTGATGGAAGAAAAGAGGGGAAGACCCTTCTCTCTCCTCCTTGTTTATACTCTTACTTATGTGAAAAACAGGACGGAATACCTAGCATATGAGACTTCCTTGGTTATGACCTGGTATCCAGGAGGAGGCCAACGTGGGGTCTAAAATCCAAACCACTACAACACAACATCACAACAGTGCAAAAAACCAATCCCTGGGGGCACCTCCCTTATGCCAGCAAAGCAGTGGTGAGAAGGACAAGGCAAATACAGCACCAGGGGACCTGGTTTCAACACCAGGCACTGTCACTGCTCCCAGTATGACCTTAGGCAAGTTCCCAGTGATTTAAGAAGGGCAGCAAACCCTTCCTGCTAGTCTGAGCTCCATTTAGCTGCAACCATTTTCTCTGGAGTAGGACTTAAGTTCATGTTACCAGCTAGAATATAGCTAAACTCCCTTGTGCAAATCAACTGACCTGATCCCTCTCCCCCTTGCTGCCCAGCAAGCCCCTGACCATGCCCAGGTACTCACCCTCAGGTGATGCAGACATGTCATGGCTGCAGGAGAAGGTCAGCTCACCCTGGACAGCCAGGGGCTGCAGCTCTGATCAACCCACTTAGGCTGAATGCTGCAGCCAAATCAAGCGTGAGCAGCCAGGCTGGCAGATTTATCAGCACCCTGTATCACTGCTCGTACACCTGACTGCAAACCAGCACAGCTCCTGTCTGGAGTCTGGAGATTACGGGCTGGCCCACGTCAGGGGCTTGGGGAGAGCTGGACACAGTGTTTATTGAGTGTCATGCCTGAGCCACAGTTCATAAACACATCTCTGGGCTGGTAACAGGGAGGAGCCCACGTGCATGAACCCTGCTCTTCAAACTGTACAAGGGAAGATGAAACTCCAGCAGTACAAAGCAGAATGGAATAGCTCTGTGGCTAGAACCAAAGGGTCTCTTGGTCTGTGCCACACAAAGCAGGCTGGGCCAGAGGCAGTGAGCAGAAGACCTCATGTTGTTCACTGGTCTCTGCAGACCTTGGCTGGGCACAGTCTCAAATGAAGGACACCGAGATGGAACTGAAGTGGCAGATGAAGTCTAGTGACAGCAGCTCCAGGCTCTTTGCAGGCCTAGAGCCCCCTGCAATACAACGAACGCGCCCCTTCCCCCCTTCTACCTGCACAGCAGACTCCTGCTCCAGCATCCCTTCAGGAGATCCTTGCTTGCAGCAAGAAGGCAAGGGGTCCACAGTGGTTGGTGCATGCCCTCTCTGAAAGACACGCAAGGGAGTCACACCAGTTGTCCAAAGGAACAGACCTCCTGGAGACCACTTCTGTCCCACCCTCTCCTGGGGCTGCAGCTCAGGGTGACCCTGCAGAGCTGTGCTCATCCCTCTGCTTGGGCTTTGCCTACCCCACCTTGGATCCAGATGCTGAACCGGGGCCATCTGCACAAAGCACTGGGGCGCTGCAGGGGAGCCACACAGCTTTGGTCCCAGAAACAGGAGCTCTGCTCTTGCAGTCCACCTGGGGGTACCTTCTGGCACACCCCAGGGAAGAGCAGTGCCACAGTGCCCGTGAGATTGCCCCCCTCATTCTCCCCCACTGTGAGACAGCGTTTAGCTTTGCTTTGTGCAGCCTCTGGCACTGGGGACTTTCACAAATCTAGAACAGGCAAACTCAGGAATGAGACAATCCCTGGGGCTGTTTGTGAAGGTAGCGCAGGCTCCACCTCGAAGAAAACTCATCTCTTTGCTCCATTAATTGCTGTCCCTTGTTAATGATAATTTCCTGAACACTTCCCACTGATGCCTCTACCAGGTCTCATTCACTCATTATCACCTCACCTAGGGCATCTCCAAAAGTCCCCCTTATTTAACTGTAGACATGTATCACTGCTGAAAACTCCTATCACAAAGCAGCTTGTTTTACTAACACTTTGTCACTGTTACCTGTTATATCTAACAGCAATACCTTTGCAGTTCTGGAGAAACCAACACTGTGGGCACAACCCCATCTGAGAAATCAGAGCCTGGGAGAGCTTGAAAAATAACAAACACAGTTCTAAGAAATGAATAGCTTTTGATCCCAAGAGCTCTTTCCATTTCCATGAAAACAGCTCAAAAAACTAAGGTCTCTGGCAGTTCCTCAACACTTACCTGTTTCCAGACCCTGAACTGAGATTGTCTGGCTTGCTCATTCCCCAAGACTTTGTTCTGTGTCCTCTCCTTAGTGACATCTGAGCATTTGAACATCCCTTTAAAGCCTCAGAGACTGTACAGGTCAGTGCCACGTTGTACCCACAAAAGCCAGCACAGAGTTAAACTGGGACTCTGCAAAGGGACATGATTTACCTTGGGAAAAACAGGAATGTTGTGTAAAAAAAGAGCTAACTCATGCTGAGAAAAAGTGACCAAGAGTTACAGTGAATAATAGCAAATAATTGCCACTGGGCACCTGTGTGGGCTTCAGGGAAGTTTTGTGAGCCAGGGTTCCAGTATTCTCTCTCAAGTGCTGTCCCCTGGATGCTGTAATATCTACAATACCCACAGGAAAAATAATTTCTCCCTCTGCTATCCTGAGATGGCTCCTGGGAAGAGGCTTGACATCCCTCGTGCCTCAGTGCTGTTGCATTCCAGGTTCACACCTGAGATAAAAACATTGAATTCCAGCAGCACCTGCAGACAGACCCAGGGGTGCAGTGAAACTCTGCCAGAAATTTAGAAGCAGAGGAGGTCTCCGAAGAAAACCGCTCCTTCAGCTACAAAGAGTTTTGTTTTTCCAAGATCCAGAGTGCTGCCTGTGACCTTTGGAGGAGCTCCTGGGCTGGTGGTGATGTAGCTGTGAAGGAACGCGAGGCTCCTTCCCCGGCGCTGGCATCTCCTGTAACCAGAGAAGTGATGGCCCGGCACAGGCACTCGCTGGCTGCTGCCACTCTGCCCTCAGCTGCTCTTCCTTTGCTTCAGGGAAGGGGCAGGGAAGTGTGTGCAGCAGAGAACCTTAAAATCCTTGGAGGAGAGGAAATAACAGTGGGCTTTGCTGTGTGAGGACGCTGTGTGTGCCTTTACTCAGGGAAGGAGGTGCAGCCCTTCCTGCACTCAGCCACCTGAGAAACCATGCCAGGATGGGTCCAGGACTGCAGTTACTGAAGGGAACTGCTGCTCCCTGAGCACTTGGCAGTACCCTCCTGGTGCAAGGACACAGGTACACAGGGGTTCACCTTACTCCAGCACGTCCCTTTCTGCTTACCGAGGAAAATGCTCCCCGTGCTCCTGTCACCTGCCGAGGCTCCAGGAGCAGCCAGGCTCCCAGACCCTGCTCAGCAAGCTGTTCCCTCAGGAGACGTCAATGGAGCTTTAAAGCCGAGTCAGCAACAGAAGCTGAATAATTTAAATCTTTAGCAATTCTGCCACTGCTGCCCAGCCGTGGATAACAGCAGGTACTCAGGAAAACAGTGGCGCTGTCAGGCTGCTTCCTCCTGTTGGGAGAGCAGCAGTGATGCAGGCAGAAATGCATAAACAAGGGGATGAGGATGCTCTGCAGAGCTGGGATAGACGCTGCAGCTCAGAGCAGGCAACTCTCAGAGCATCACACGGCTGAGCCTTCCCTTTCCTGGGGTGTTTGTGGCTTCTGGCATGGTGATCCATGATCTATCCAGGGGACCACAAGACATCTTACCCACAGGATTAACATCCACTGTTTGTCCCCCTCTTAGAGACCAGGCAGTTCTGAGACCAGAAACCATCCCCTAGTTCAGCCTGAATCTGAAAAATCCCAGTTCTAGGAACGAGGAATTTGGCATTATGCCCACAATATGGGCCAAGGACAAATCACTTCTTAATTACTGCTCATAGTGCAGATTTCAGCTTTCACTCAAGAAGGTACCAAACTAAAAGACGTAACAAGAGCCTGCTCAGGCTGCAATTAATCTACCCCAGCTATTGATCCTGTTGGATCCCCTGGCCCTGCTGTAACTGCAAGGCTTCAGATCACTGAGAGATACCAGCATTTTTTACGCCTGTTTGGGGATCTCGAGAGCAAGAGATTTGCAGCACTTGGCTGCAGTGCATGCCTGGAGGCAGCACAGACCAACCTCCTGAGAGAGCAGATGAATGCACAGTCCCCACCTGGGAGGCTGCACTCTGCTCCTCTTGGAAAGAAATCTGCTCTGCTGCTGAACACCAAGCCAGAGAGCAGGAACTCAGCTCTCGTCCCACACTTCCAGTGTACCTTTATTCTCAGCCACCCTGAGGTCTGCCCTGTACCTAAATACCAAGGTCTGCACCAAGATCTTCTTGCTCTGTTCAGGCAGTTTGACAAAATATTGTCTCCTTCAGTCTGCAGTGGCCAACAGCACTGAGAGCACAAGTCTGAGGGTTGTTTATTGCTGTGACAGCACAAGGGCACTCAGAATTACCTGCTTTCCTTCAGCACATCACCCAGCTGTCCTGAGTGCCCATCTCCACAACCCCCAAAGGACATCTGCTATGTGCATGTCCAAACAAGTCACACAGCCTGTCCCCTCAGCAGAACTGGCCGGAGATGCTGGGGTCACCCAAAAGAGAAATGTTCACAGAATAGCAGTGAATTCCCAGGGGCCATTTCACAGACCACAAGGGGGAGGATGGGGCATTTTGCCCAGGATACACAGCTTGACAGACTCCCAGGGAGGGCCCACAGCAGCCCCTGACTGTGCTGCTGCAGCACGCTGCCCAGCCAGACCACTGGCACATTTTCACAGTGTGAAAAGCTCAGCTTTATGCTCACTCCTGGAAATCCACTGTATCCAGTGTATGTGGAGCTGCAGGAGGATGTGAGAGGCACCTGAGGCCAAAATCCCGAGGACAGGCTCACCAAAACAGTGTCGGGCTCCTACAGAGTTAGTGCTTGAAGCAGGGCTCACTGCTTGGCTCCCTGGAGAGCCAGGGAAGAGAAAGGAGCATTTCCAAGGGTATAATTTAGCTGACCTACTTCCACGTGTGGCGCAGCACGGGAAGGACTCCCTCCTCCCCTCCCAGACTGGAGGGAGTTGAGGTGAGCGGTTGGGATGCAGAGGTCTACACCACAGGACCCTGGGCTGGGGCAGAGCACCCCCTCAAACAGCACGATGCCCTCGATGGCACCGATGTGCAAAGAGCAGCCCCGCTCTGCCCAACACACGAGCAGCACAATTCTACCCCAGAAACATCCAAATCCTCTCAGCTGCTGTTGCCATGGCAACGCCAGAGCCAGGATCCACCAGCCTTTGATGTTCAGATCTGCTCAAAGCGTGCAAAATGTTTAAAGCATGCAAAATGCCATTCGGAAGCTGGGGAGCTGAGTGGAGGAGCACCTGACCGCCCTGAGGATGGAAGGCTCTCCAAGGAGCAGGGATTAATGCTGGCCAGCACTGCTTCCTCTCCTCCACCGCACGGCACTACCAGCACGCTGCTGCCTCTGTGCCCCAGCTCACCCACTTAATGGAGTTTAATATTTAACATCAGACAAGTTGCTGTTTCACAGGGTAATTTGGGTTATTAATAAAAAATCTCCCTTCCCCCTAATTATTCAAAAATGAGATGGTGTTACTCCCTGTTAGCAGTGCTGGGAGCTGAGCCCTACGGGAGCATTGGCCCAGCGCTGGTGACGGGCGCTCAGGAAGGGCTGAGCAGTCGGAAGAGCCAGCAGGGCCAAGGAAGATGCAGCACAAACGCTGTCCCCATCACCCATCGCATCACAGCGGAGGGGGAAGTCATTCCACACGACACACACATGGGTTGTGCCAACCACGGGAGGAGCTGCCTGCCTGATCACCCCTCCAGCAGTGCACAGAGATGCCCTGCACGGCAAGGGCACCCCCGACCTTAGGACTGCATAATTGCTTACCTTAAAACATGAACACTCTTGTAACACTTATCACTGGGATTCTCTGAGGCTTTGCTAAAAACCAGCGCTGTCGGTGCCAGGAAATGCTCAGCACTGCCCCTGCATCCACCTGCCTTCCCGAGCAGGTCAGGGTGGTTCAGTACAAGCCAGGATGCTCTGAAGTGTGGGGGCACAGAGAAAGATTTGAAACATCTGAGGGGTTTTTGTGCCAGATTTCTGACAGAATTTCCTTTACAACATGAAACACAGAAACTTGAAGTAGTCTTGTACTACAGACTGTGCTGAAAGGCCCCATAGGCAAGTGCTGCTGATCCCTCTGAAATGTTTTCAGGAGACAGTGAATGCTGCTGCCTCACATTTTGGATGGAAAGGGTGTTTTCTCTGTGCCTTACTGAGCTGCTGCTGG